TGTTCTAAAAATACTGGCTGTTGATTACGTCAGATAAAATTAATTTTTAAATTCTCGTCCCATTTACCCCTCTGAAAATGTGGTATGTAAAAATAAATATTTTGTTTAAACTGAAAATATATTGTATTTAGCCGGGACGTCATTTGGCGGAAATTCGTAGATTTGAGCGCCTTGCTGAATGGTCTAAAAAAACATTTAATATACTTGAATAAGAGGATACCGTTTTCCGCCAGCATGCTGGAAAAGAAAAATACACAGCCAAATGTAAGGATACGTCTAATCTACGAAAAAAAAAAAGCAAAACAAAACAAACAGAAAAGAAACAGTAAGAAAACAACACATAAAGTAAATTGGAAGAAAGAAACTAAAGGATTGATTGTTGTTTTTGGTCCCTTGTGAGAATTTTCACTAATATAAGACGTACAAAAAACCTAATCTGAAGAGAAACATGTCTAATAATCATTTCATTGATATTGAATTATTATGATACGATTCATGGGTCACTTGAAAGCAGGCATACGTGAATTTTTTTTTTTATAAAAATTATTTCATCTTATTTTTCTGCACTGAATACCGGAGAGATATTCACGACGTCGCGATGTTTAATGACATCGCTCTTAAAAATGTTATATTTTGCGATATAAAAGCAATTATCCACAATTAAATTACGCGAAAACTAACCCGAAGACATATTAATTTTTTCTCATTTATTTGTTTCAAATCAATTCTTTGTTGAAATACCAAAGGGGAAAGAATTTCGTCTGCACCATTTAAAAGTTATTGATATTTTTTGAAACAAAATCTTGCCAAAAAACGAGCCAAAAACGACGTTTTTCTTATATAATTCAGTAGAATAACGTCGAAAATGTAACGACAACAATGGCATGTTTGGGATTTAATTACATCAAAACGATGCAGACGAATTTTATAAAATTTTCAGAGAATATAAAACGAAGGTAGAGGATTCATATAACTATTTTTCATGGTATGTTTTCGGACACTTTTAAATGGCCTGTAAACCCGCGACCTACGTTAAGTCAATAGTCAACGACTTAACGACAGATTGTATTCGCAAACAAGATCATTATATATCGACCAGAGAATTTGCGAAATTTGACTTTAAACGAGATTATTGATATCTTTGTATCATCAACTTATTTGTCAATAGGCTGTCTCGTTTTAGGAATTCTTCGAATTCTAGAACATGTTCTTGCGTATCGAATCAACTGGGAGACATAAACTCCGTATGCAGGTAAAAATGGTATATTGCTACATGAATAAGTTGACGATAGAAAAGTTGAAGTCATCACCTTCATAAAGTTTAGTTGTCAGTTTGCTACCAATGTCTTCCCTAATAAAACAGCCAAATATGAAATATATGTGACAAACTCTGTGGTGTCTTTTATTTCGAGTTCAATAAGATATATAAAACCTACATAGGAATGAAACTGAGTATTAGTTGTTAATTGATAACACGTTATTGATATATCTAAATGTCGAATTGAAGTCACAGCAAGAGACTTCTGTTTATGTAGAAGTTTTTGAATAATTTCCGCTTCATATGAATACAAACACAGGTCTGCTGATAACAGAGCACAAATTAGTACCCATGGGAGTTCCAAGATTGTTGGAAAACCTGGTCTCCGAAAACTGCATAGATATTGTCAATGAGAAACTCAAGCATCTTTTTAATATCAACCTCGGAGTAAACTTGTGTTCAGAATGATAATGTTTTTCAACCAAAAAAAAAGTTTGCAGATGATATTAACCTCGAAGTACTTGTGTGTAGAATCAGAATGTTTTTTTTTTTAACAATATAAGTTGCAGATGACCAATGACAAGGTATGCAAATTTACGAGTTCCATTTTATCGAAGAAGCATTTGTCTGTGGTGTCAAAAAGCCTGGTCTTTAACTTATTTATAAGTGATATTCTTCAAACGAAAAATGTAATGCAGACAAGAAGAGAGTATGTAGTTTATATGTTATTTTTATAGTTATATTAATATTTGTTGGTTGTTGTTGGTCCCCCCCCCCCTCCCCCAAAAAATCAGCAAAAAAAAAAGTGTTTTATTGTGAATGTGAAAGTAGAAAATATTGGATTTAGGAGAGAGAGCAAAACTTGCTTTTAACATGTTCTCTCATACATCTCTCATACATCGTCTTTGTGGTTCAATGAAGGCATTCCTAGATGTTTGCTTATGATTGATTCTTGTTATTAGATAGAAAAAAGAGAAAACTCGGGCTTTATAAATATTGTATAGTTTCCTTCTCTATTTGTGCTTACCACATGTATAAGTGCAATACTCTTTGTCCGTATCCTATACGAGTCTGTAAATTACCAGAACTTTAATAATTATATCCTGGTATATGGAACGCCATAGCTGCCTTATGTGGTTATTTCATGAGAAGATGGTGCTTTATTATGTTATGCTGTGGTTATTTCATGTGAAGGTGGTGCTTTATTATGTTATGCTGTGGTTATTTCATGTGAAGGTGGTTTTTCATGTGATGATTTTTCATGTGAAGGTGGTTTTTCATGTGATGGTGGTTTTTTTTATGTGAAGGTGGTTTTTTTTATATTTAATGTGATGGTGGTCACTCGGAACTCTTAATATTTTTGAAGACTGAGTTTAACACTGAGTTTTACTGCTATTATCTAGAAATTTTGAAAGTGACACAAGTAGTCAATATAATTTAAATCATTTTAATACACCATTGCTAGTTCCTCTTTTTTCCATAGGCGCTTGGTTTCAGGATGGTGTATTTTGTGTATTGTGTTTTTTTTTCTAGCTATGTCTGCATAAACTCGATAACCTAAGAATGAAAACAATATACCCCCGGGATCTTTCGATCCGGGGGCATAAAAATCACTGAAGTAAGCAAGTTTTAAAAATGTCATATTACTTTATATAAAAAAAGAGTGAAGGTACGACAGTTGCAGTCTTCGATTTTACGGCGTGCCCGGCTCGGTTCATACTTGATTTTAATTAATCAATATCTACACTTTTCCTACCAGTTTCGGACAGGAATTCGGGTGAAATCTACATTTAAAAATGACTGAATAACGCCTTTCAATCGTCTGCCAATTCTAACTTTCCGTATAAAATATGCAGTAAACAAAAACGTACTGATACCTAGAACTGAAAGTGAAAGCAATGGAAGTGACGATTTTTAACCAAGTAAAATGTAGAGGCGTCCCGGAATAACGAGAACAAGTTTGGCGCGGTTTTTGACCTCCCTAGATTTTCCGAAGATGGCATCTGTTGTACCTACACTCTTACTATATAGACTAATATGGCACTTTTTAAACGTGATAATTTCAGTGATTTTTTTTTTATTTTTATGTTTTTTAGTGTATTCAGACACACCTACAAAAAAATCATAATACACAAAATACACCGTTTTGAACCCAAATGCCTAGATGGAAAAAAAGAGGAACTAGCAATGGTGTATTAAAATGATTTTAATTACATTGACTATTTGTTTCACTTTCAAAATTTCAAGATAATAGCAGTTAAACTCAGTGTTAAACTCAGTATTAAAAAATATTAGGAGTTCCGAGTGACCACCATCACATTAAATATAAAAAAAACCACCTTCACATAAAAAAAAACAACACTTGAAAAACCACCTTCACATGAAAAACCACCTTCACATGAAATAACCACAGCATAACATAATAAAGCACCACCTTCACATGAAATAACCACAGCATAACATAATAAAGCACCACCTTCACATGAAATAACCACAGCATAACATAATAAAGCACCACCTTCACATGAAATAACCGCAGCATAACATAATAAAGCACCATCTTCACATGAAATAACCACAGCATAACATAAAAAAGCACCATCTTCAAATGAAATAACCACAGCATAACATAATAAAGCACCGCCTTCACACAAAATAACCACAGCATAACATAATAAAGCACCACCTTCACATGAAATAACCACAGCATAACATAATAAAGCACCACCTTCACATGAAATAACCACAGCATAACATAATAAAGCACCATCTTCACATGAAATAACCACAGCATAACATAAAAAAGCACCATCTTCAAATGAAATAACCACAGCATAACATAATAAAGCACCACCTTCACACAAAATAACCACAGCATAACATAATAAAGCACCACCTTCACATGAAATAACCACAGCATAACATAATAAAGCACCACCTTCACATGAAATAACCACAGCATAACATAATAAAGCACCATCTTCACATAAAAAAACCACAGCATAACATAATAAAGCACCATCTTCTCATGAAATAACCACATAAGGCAGCTATGGCATTCCATACTAGTACGCAAAATGAAAAGAGGGAGGGGCTACAAGGTTTTTACTGTGCCCTGTGACTATGAAATTCTTTTTGTGGTCATAATTTTGTAATATTGGACATTGAAAGATTTTACTTGATACACAGATTGCTTATTACTAATTTACCCAAAAGCTAAAATTGAAATTGACCTCAGTTCGTTTGAACAAGTCTGAAAAATATTCTGACAATTACACTACTTTCAAGTGAGGAATACTATAAACTCTTAATTTAATGTAAGATTGTTATGACCCTGCGATATTTGTAGCTTTGACCCAAGGACATTGGGTAAGTTGAAGGTTACTAAAACATGCCCCTGTTCCATAAGTTGAAACACTTATATATGCATATGATTCTTATATCTGTGGGATGTACTGTGACCTTGATACATGGGTCTTTGGGTGGTTCAAGGTTATTGAAAACTTAAAATCCACGCCAGTTCCATAACTTTGCAATCGAGAAACATTGGAAGCTCTTTCTTCAGAATAACACTCACGCCTTCAGGATATATTCTTTTCTATTCTTCCTTCAGCACAACACTCATACTTTCAGTGCATACCACTGCACCGTTTTATCTATCTATCTATCTATATTTTTTTTTTTTTTTTTTTTTTTTTTTTTGCATAAAACCACAAGTCGTGTTTATGTCATTTCAGAATTCATATGGATGTTAAAGGTTTCAGAGTTCACGGGATTCCTTCAGGGACCAACCCTAGAGACATCTACGACTATTTTGAAAAATCGGAAAATGGAGGCACAGAAATTGAGGATATCTATTACCCTCTGCAGAACAATGATGCAGTTGTTGTTTTTACAAATGATGGTATGCCATGAATGCACGCAAAATCTTTTACAGACATAATCATAAACTGCCTTTTTTTTTCGCTGGAGTTGTGTTTATTGTGTATTATATTTTTTGAATCTGATTGATTTATACTTTATTCGCATCTACTCACATACTAGTTTGCTTCTTTTCAACAGGATACCAACGTGCTTTTGACAAGAGTCACTCCATGAGTGGCAATAAATTGGTATTGAGTAAGCTTCCAATACAGGTAATATATTTTCCTCACGTCTTCTACATTTTGAATGGTTTGGAAACTATTTCGTTAAAATTTAAAAACTGATTATCAAATTTTACAGTTTTTTTATTTGAAAGCTTTTCTCAAACGTCTCTGTCTACCTGGAACAAGCAATAACACAGCTTCTGGATGAGAACCCCCCGCTTATGAGAAACCTTGAAAATGACAGTGATGTTGAAGTAGTGTTCGATGCGAAATTCATGACGTACAGGGTTGTAGGGAATCCCTTCCAAATCGAATGGACAAAAAATTTCCTCTCAGACGCATGGCACAAACATGAGGAAAACAAGAAAAAATTGACAAATGGATCAACAAACGGAACAACAGAGGGAAAAAGTGAGGCAGTGGGCAGAAGATCTTCGCCAATGATGAATAGCGAAGAATCAGATTCTTCCGAGGATGACCTATCATATTCCCCCCGTATGACTTATGGTGGTAAACAGAATAGAACGGACATGGATCGCCGTTATAGTCCAACGCCAAGGGATCTCTCATCAGTTTCCAAGAAGACAAAGAAATCCGGTGATCATGACAGAGAAACTTTTGGAAGCAATATTTCAAGTTCAGAAGTGTACCCTCAAACATCAAATGTAAAGTTTAACTCGCAGGTTCTGGAAAAAATGGATTCGCCCTTAAGAATGTCAGACTGCAGGCTTTCCTCAAGTGACCCAAGATCTTCAAAATCGTCCTCTGTCTCACGCAAACCAGATGCTGCGGATAAATTTGCAGATAAGACCAAACCCAAAACAAAACTGCAGAATTTAACAGATAATGAGAAGCACAGAATTCCGTTCAATGCATCATCTCTTTCACAAAACAGATATAACCCCAGTCAGTCGTTATTTGCACCATCAGTAAACAAGAAAACACCCCAAGTCTTCAATAATTATGACAGTGACTCGGACAGTGATGACGTCATCATAGGTAGACGAGGTCCAGAGGAATTCTCGGTTAGAGACGAAGAAAGGAGGTTCAGGTCACCACCACCAATACCACCACCGCCCTCGCGGAATCCCCATACTATCTTCCCACCGAACAGAAACTTTCAGATGGGCATGTCTCTCTGTCAGTCAGACTTCCCTGAGCTGGCCTTGGAGCACGAAACACCCATAGGTGGAGTCATAGTAAAGCTAATTATGGGTGATATTCTAACACAAAAGTCTGACGCCATTGTTAGTCCAGCCAGCACAGATTTGTCAACACTTTATGGAATATCTGCTGTGATAGCTAGAAATGCTGACAGGAAAATGAGACAAGAATGTGCTGATTACATTGCTAAAAATGGCAATCTGCTTTTTGGTGACGTAATACATACATGTGCAGGCGGTAACCTTGATCCCAAGGTCACTTACATTCTGCATGCTGCTGTTCCCTCCTGGAGAGAAGACAGTCCAGAACAGTCTTCACATTTGTTGACCTGTACCTACCTTAACTGTTTTCAATATGCTGATAAAATCTGGCTCAGCAGCTTGTCAATGCCGATCATCGGTGCTGGTAAGATGCTTTCTTTGTAGAGAAGTAATATCATGCTCTTTGCTATCTTTTCAATCATAAAATGACATATCTTTTCTTTTTTTTAAAGGTTATTTTGCGGCCCCCTTGGATGTCTGCGTACAGTCATTCCATGATGCCATATTATTGTTTACACACGGTGCCAATCCATCTAAACATCTAAAAGAGGTCCTACTTGTGAGCAATGACCAGGACAGCGCATGCTCAAGTGTTGTAGTATTTAGATCCTTGATGGACCTAGAAGAGGATCAAGCGTACAGAGCTGCCGTTGAACGATACTGCAAAAGAAGTGAGCAGTATGATTTTTCTGCCAGAGATTTTGTTCTCGGGAGGAGTTCACCAAGACAGGATATGGACGTAGGGAAAGATCGCAGTGAAAAAATTGACAAAGCCAAGGAAGAAAAAGGAGTCGACGAAGGTAAATCGCAGCAGAAAATAGAAAGTGAAGTGTCTGATAAAAGTGAGTGTTTCGGTGCATATTCAATAGAAAATGAGAAAGAAATGCACACTGGTATTTGTCAGTCAGAGAGGTCAAAGGAGAATATAGAAGAGAGTCCTAGCAAGGGGCGGCAACTCAGTGACAGTGATGACGAAACAAAAGATCAAGATGACGAAAACTGGACAAAATCGAACGAAGAGTATGCACATAATAAACACTTGGAAAGCGATTTACACAATATGTCATCGAAAGAAAATGACGATGCTTCTTTCCTCACTGAAGTGGTGGACGACACTGCGTCATCAAGTGTCATCGAAAAATTATTGACGACGTGCGGGTCAGACAAAAATTCTGACGATGAGAAAAGGGATACGAACCAATCCGATGATGATATCTAAATGTCTTTCAAATATCATTTCTGCAATGTTCTGTTCCTTTTTCTTACAGCCAATTGAATCTATTGTTGACCTGAAGCATACAAATTCTCTACAAGCTTTGTTGGGGTTGAAACTCTACACAGATCTGTTTTGTGTTATTAGTGAGTACTATAGATGTTACCCACTAGATGTTAACTCTGGAGAGTAAGAAGATGTCGGTCATCAGGTCTCCAAAGAAAATATTTTATTCACTAGTCTCTTGTTTTGTTTTTGTTATTGTCGATATATCTTAAACTTTTGGTCACGTAATATTCTCTGAGAAATACGAATCGCTGGAACGTATAACATACCAGATAATAGTCAAAAGCATTAGTTTTCGCTAAAACCTTGATATTTTCATTCTATAAGTTAAACCAAGGGCTTTGTCTATACATTTATAACAGGAGCCTTATGTTGCATTATTTAAGTAAATACTTTTATATATGTTAATGATATGCACCATTCAGCCTATAGGATATAGGATAATGGATGACCGTAAAAACATTTAGACGCATTTTAATTAGCCGTCTGGTCTGTTCCAGTTGTCTCGATTTTATTTTGGAGGGTTGGTAACCTTTAATCCCTTAGTGCACTAATGTTGATTAGATTGTATGGAGTCAGGCCCGTAGGAAGCAATTTCAGTTTTTTTGGGGGGGGGGGGCACAGCCAAACATTTTTCATTGATAGTTGAGGGAGCACTACCAAAAATTTTCTGACAAGCAAAATGTGCAAGTTTGTTTCAGTACATTTTATGCAAATTCTCCTTCTTTACGTAAATTTATGAGAACAAAGTACATGTACTTTGGTTAAATTTAAAGTACATGTTCTTTAAATAAATTTAGGCACCTGAGAAAAGAAAAAGAAATGCTGAGGTAAATTATGTAAATATTTGTTTGCACCTGACCCCACTTTTGGCATTTCTGGGGGTCCGTGCATGTTTTATGTCCCGTTTGGATTTTTTTTTGAGATGATCACTGTTCGTTCTCATCACTTTTTTCATTTATTGAGAAATCATATGTGCATTAATATTTGAACTGTACAAAATATTTGTTTTTGTGAGCTTCTTGCAGTATATTCATCCAAGTTCTCTTTATGTGTGTAAATTTATGAGAATTAACTACGTACTGTCACTTTGTTATAATAATAGTATAAATTATAGAGAGGTTTCCTTGTGTACTTTTCTAGACAGTTATAAAGTACGCAGTTACATTCTGTACCAAATTAAACTGTTAAATTCCGACTGTCATTGGAGTACTTAATTCCTACTCTAATTTTCCAAATGTCAATCAAATTGTGCAAAGCTATTCAATCATGATAGCCTTTAATAAGCAAACTTGTGTTTTATCTGTACGTGTAAAGTTCAATGGATTATGTTAACGTATTTGTTTGCCTTTTCCTGTCATTTTTGTCAATGTATACATCAACATGCCGGCTCTGATTGATTAATTTCATTAAGTTTTTTAACTCTGTTAGGTAACTGCCCTTATACTTGGCATAAATCTAAGTACGTGATGGTGTACTATCAACGTTGATAAAATCTCGTTCATAAGACCACATACACTGGGTACTAAAGTACAATGTAAATCCAACTGTAGAAACATTTCTGAATATCAAACATGCTCCATTGAAATAAAACATTCGTAATACAAGGTATCTTGTTATCCATTACCATTATCTAGGAAACATTCGTTTTATCAAATCTGTTGAAAATAAGACCTCAGTAAATTTGCCACGACCTTGAATATATTATTCCTTGTTGTATGAAGTGTATAATATGTCACCATTATCTTGCCGAGACCTTGAAAATGTTTTTCCTTGTTTTATGAAATGTATAATATATCACTATTTTAATTGATATACCTAATAAATCATCTTATAAAGATGCGAGTTAAGTTTTTAGAGCTCGTGCCCAATCGCACTGTATACGTACAGTATTTTATGCAATAAAATATGTTCAAATCGATCATATCCTGTGTTAGTGCTCTGTGTTGATAAACATGAAAGAATCAATCTCGAACTATTTTTTTTTCGTAAAACTTATTGAAAGTTCTATAAAATACATTGATTTGGTTTCATTTTTGTTAACTACTTGGTGTTGGAAAGATGATACAGTGTTTATCATGTCACTAGGACAGATTAGAAAATGAAACTTTATTTCCAAACTTTGTTAAAGATTATTGCACAATAATAAGCCAACAATAAGATAAACAATCCATATAAAAAGAAAACATGACATATACATAATTAGCTTAATACTTCTCCAATAATAACCAGTTTGGGAATAATTTATAAATATGATATAAAGAAATATTCACTGTATATAAATGTACATTTAAATGAAAACGGGGCATATTTTATATATAATTTTTTTTATTAAAAGTTCAAAATCCAATCCTCATATTCACAACATTCAACAAGTATGTAATTTCTCAATCACGCATTAAAGAAGTGGTGTGTATGTGTTGCTAGGACGTGGAATGGTTGCCAAGCAACACTATAAAATTACAGGACTGCAGCTGTGATTTTAGGTCGTCAGAAATTGGATTATTTTGTAAGTTAACATTTCTCAGTCCCTCAATATCCTCTAACCGACTCACATCAACAGCTGAAAAAGAAAAGTCAAATCAGGTGTCGGATGAGGAAAAAAAAAACAAAACATGGACATCTGTACAAACATAGGTAATCAAAGATTACTAAGCTCACCTCAACGAATGTTATCTATAAGTAAGGCAAATCTCACATCATATTTTTTTCCTAGTTAGTGTACATCCCAAGATTAATATCCATCAATATTAGATTCAGAATCCAAAGCAACTCTGGAAGTGTCCATCTCTAGATACATCATCATCCATGCTAATTTGGTTAAAATATGGCTAAAATTCACTCATGTGGAAAATCTAGGTCAGATCCAGAATCCGAAGCAGGTTAGTTAGTGTACATCCCTAGATGCATCATCCATGCAAGTTTAGTCCAGGTAGGGCTTACAGTTCCTTGGGAATGGACCTGCTCCAAAAAAACTTTAACCTGGTCACTCATCTGGAAAATCTAGGTCAGATCCAGCATCTGAAGCAAATATGGTAGTGTCTATCCCTAGATGTATCATCCATGCAAATTTGGTTCAGGTAGGGCTTATAGTTTCTTGGGAATGGACCTGCTCCAAAAACTTCAACCTGGTCACTCATCTGGAAAATCTAGGTCAGATCCAGCTTCCGAAACAAGTATAGTAGTGTCCATCCCCAGATGCATCATCCATGCAAGTTTGGTCAAGGTAAGGCTTATAATTACTTAGGAATGGACCTGTTCCAAAAACTTTAACCTGGTCACTCATCTGGAAAATCTAGGTCAAATCCAGCATCTGAAGCAAAAGGCAAGTATGGTAGTGTCCTTCCTTTGATGCATCATTCATGCAGGTTTGGTCCAGGTAGGGCTTATAATTGGGTACCTGCTCCAAAAACTTTAACCTGGTCACTCATCTGGAAAATCTAGGTCAGATCCAGCATCCGAAGCAAGTGTGGTAGTGTCCATCCCCAGATGCATCATCCATGCAAGATTGGTCCAGGTAGGGCTAATAGTTCCTTGGGAATGGACCTGCTCCAAAAACTATAACCTAGTGACCCATCTGGAAAATCTAGGTCATATCCAGCATCCGAAGCAAGTGTGGTAGTGTCCATCCCTATATGCATCCTCCATGCAAGTTTGATCCAGGTAAGGCTTATAATTACTTGGGAATGGACCTGTTCCAAAAACTTTAACCTGGTCACTCATCTGGAAAATCTAGGTCAGATCCAGCATCTGAAGCAAGAAGCAATTATGGTAGTGTCCTTCCTTTGATACATCATTCATGCAGGTTTGGTCCAGGAAGGGCTTATAATTGGGTACCTGCTCCAAAAACTCTAACCTGGTCACTCATCTGGAAAATCTAGGTCAGATCCAGCATCCGAAGCAAGTGTAGTAGTGTCCATCTCTAGATGCATCATCCATGCAAGTTTGGTCCAGGTAGGTCTAATAGTTCCTTGGGAATGGACCTGCTCCAAAAACTTTAACCTAGTGACCCATCTGGAAAACCTAGGTCATATCCAGCATCCGAAGCAAGTGTGGTAGAGTCCATCCCAATATGCATCCTCCATGCAAGTTTGATCCAGGTAAGGCTTATAATTACTTGGGGATGGACCTGCTCCAAAAACTTTAACCTGGTCACTCATCTGGAAAATCTAGGTCATATCCAGCATCTGAAGCAAGAAGCAAGTATGGTAGTGTCCTTCCTTTGATACATCATTCATGCAGGTTTGGTCCAGGAAGGGCTTATAATTGGGTACCTGCTCCAAAAACTTTAACCTGGTCACTCATCTGGAAAATCTAGGTCATATCCAGCATCCGAAGCAAGTTTGGTAGTGTCCATTCCTAGATGCATCATCCATGCAAGTTTGGTCCAGGTAGGGCTTATAGTTACTTGGGAATGGACCTGCTCCAAAAACTTTAACCTGGTCACTCATCTGGAAACTCTAGGTCAGATCCAGCATCCGAAGCAAATGTGGTAGTGTCCATCCCTAGATGCATCATCCATGCAAGTTTGGTCCAGGTAGGGCTTAAAGTTACTTGGGAATGGGACTTGCTCCTAAAACTTTAACCGGGACGCCGACGCTAACGCGTGTGGACGCTAACGCCGACGCCGGGGGTATAGCATAAGCTCATCTCGACTTCGTCGAGGTGAGCTAAAAATGGCACAACACTTACACATTATGCAGTTGTCATGTAGAAAGAGCTCTTGAAGATTGGAGAGTGAGTACACGAAAAGAGGAACGCCTGTCAGATCATTGCTGGAGAGGTTCAGGACCCGGATGTTTTGCATAACATGCATATCTGGCGGGAATTGGCTCAATCTATTTTTACTTAAATCCAGCTCTAAAAAAATCAGAATGAAAACAAATAAGTTATGACAACAAATAAATATATAACCATGTCCATACAAGAATTTGCAGTTCCCCAAGATTTTTTTCCGTTTTTGTTTTTAGGTAACTCGTGAAATTACCTTTGAAAAAAAAATCGAGGAAATTTACTCAATGAGTAGAATTAAATATTTACGGTACAAAACTACATACCAGTTAAACTTGTGAAATTTGATGGGAACTTTGGTGGGATCTTTGTGAGCATGTTGTTGGCCATTGTGCATTTGTTGACTGTTACCGACTTCAGCATCATGTACACTGCATCTGGGATTTTAGTCAAGTCACACCCAGATAAATCTACAGAAAACCAAAAAAACTATCTGTATAGAAATAGATTTTATATGGAATTTATTTCATGAGTGGGACAGGATTTTTTTTAAATATTTTCACGAGTGCGCGTGAAAATATCAAAAAATCCTGTCTCACGAGTGAAATAAATTCCACATCCAACTACAAAACATTGAATTTTCTGTTTATTACATTTTCTTTGATTTCTTTTTGCCTCTGTCTTATCTTAACACAGTGCTATAGGCTCTGACGTCATAGTTGAGATTGAAAACATTGTAACATGGAATTTAGCAATATATTTGGGAGGAAATTTACAGTTTTAGCTTTCAAGAAGTTTTTGTTACTATCTCTATCTTACGATAGGCCAGAAATCATTTTTACTTTGATATCCTTTCACACCGTGACAGAATATCATTTTGATATCCTTTCACACTGTGAAAGTTCATCACATTTATTCAATAAATGAATTACAGTATTTCACTATTGAAAATGTAATAATAATTGTACACACTTGATTGTCATTGCCAATAACAGGAACCAACGTAGTATACACCTTTAAAGCTCTAACGAGGGAAGGGAGGCAATATATCTATGTAGACTTTAGAGTTTTTTTTCAAAATTAAAAAAAAAATCGTGTCCAGTGTCAGACCAAACACTTTCCACCAAGAAAAAGTTTCTCCACCCCTGGAAGATTTTCTTAATATACCAATGATTGTCAAAAAAGATCAGACTGTTCTTTTCTTTTGAGTAGATTGGAGACCTGAGACCCCCCCCCCCCCCCTCAATGAATCTTGACATTTTTCTTGATTGTTTTATGTCTGCTTCAATCTTAGCCGAAGGCATCGGTAAAGATAGGGCTGGGTATCGGTTGGGAATTTCGTATTGCGATATATTGCGATATTTAGAATTGTATTGCGATATGTATTGCAATATTTTTAATAACAGTTAAAATGTTTTTTTTTTATTTTATTAAGCTCCATTTATAAGAAGAGTGTATAAAACTTTAATAAATACGTTGTAACAAAAAAGTTTAGTTGATTTCATTATCGTTTGGCAACGAAATGCAACCATAGTGATACAGCAGGCAGAAACCTTTACCGTTCGGTGCTGTTTGGAACGACTGAAAACGTTTCTGACATCTTAAATTTCATATTGTACTTTATAAATCTTTTTATAAATCTTTATTTACTTTATAAAGCCCAAGCATTTTGCCGGTATATCGGTACTGGGAAAACATATTGCAATACGATATTTTTATGTTAACGAATCGCAATATACAGGAATATCGATATTATTGCACAGCCCTAGTAAGAGACTCACTCTTAGGATTCCATTGGACAATAAAAATTAAACATATCCAATCATATGGAATTGGAAGCTCCCGGTCTTTTTTTCCATTGTAGGAAAAATAATCTGTTATATTAACCTGAAAGGTAGAGTAAAATCTATACCGATGAACAGATATTCTTTATCATGATTTCTAGAATGTCAAGCTAGATTTCTGCCAACCAGATAGTTATTCTTTCTTTATCATGATTTCTAGAATGTCAAGTTAGATTTCTGCCAAGCAGATAGTTAAAAATTATCCAATCCGGCAGTGGCGGATTTAAGGGGGGCACATCCAGTGCGCGCCCCACATAAAATTGTCAATGTTAGAGTAAATCATAGACCTAGTTTCGTCGAGAAAATGTAAAAATGTCTACTCGGTAGACCTCATTTTTACCATACAAAATCTCTAGAATCCAGGAGCTTCCAGGGGTTTCGCCCCCTGGGCCACCACCAGGGCTTTGCTCTGGACCCTCTGAGGGCCCCAAGGCGGCCCCAGACCTCCTGCCTACTTTTTTGCCCCCCCCCCCTTTCAATTCCTGGTTCCGCGCTCGAATCGGACCTATGATATTGATATTTATTAACACCTTAATCTTTCTTTCTATCTCATTCATGTCGCGTCGTTTTCAGGCGATTTGCTTGAAAATTTGCTGTGTTGGTTTTAAAGATTGAGAATAGGTCAGATACTTAATTAAAAGTCTATGACCAATGTGAAGATCCGCCTCTTGTTAAGATTCAAACTATGGGGCGCAGAAAGGAAAAATAATTTTCTGCATTGTATTTAAAACTTTTGTGTCTTTGAAGTTGAAATTTTGCAAGACAACGCATCAAAGAAATGTTATATCTTTTATACAGCTTAAACAAAAAATTAAGACATGTCAACTGTATTTTAAAAAAATCTATGGAGGCGATTACAAAATATCTGGTTTTCATAAATAATGATAAAATTTTACATGTAACAAACTTCATACCAAGAGACTGTGATTCCTGTGCCTCGCGGAGCCTTCTGGCGACTAAGGCAGTTCCACTCGCCATAATGATACTCGGGCCACGATCTACCCCCCAGTATTTTTACCTTTGGGGAACCCCCAGAAATATATATTCACATGCATCACGATCCCGATCAAATAAAAAGGAGGTTGAGTAGATAATATATTGTTTGTCTACTTCTATTCCTTTGAATTGACTACCAACAAAAAAAATTGAAATACAGTTGTCTTCTTTCATTAAGCAGATGTCATTTGCTAAGTTTTTGTTCCCTATATATTGTATCGGCCTTGGCCTGCAGAAGAAACTCTTCTGAAATGAAAACAACAAAAGACCCTCGGCAACTCGAATGTTTAAAAATGGAGGATTTGTTGATGTGTTTGTGAATTCGAGAAGTCAGTTAAGGTATTATCGATTTTTTTGAAGATAAAAATCATGAATGGCTTGATGCCAGTGGTTTCTTTTATTACTATATATTTTATTCAAGAAAAAAACTGAATTTGGCATATCTTGCGACAACCAAACTCCAGATTTGAAACTGGGACGTGTCTCAACACATTTTTGTGTTATTTATACAATCATATACAATATAGATTTAATGATAAAATTCGTAGCATGTGTTGCTTATGTATATAAAAAACAGGGACAGATAAATCTAAGCATACACCACGAACTAAATTTCAACATGGCATGTACAGAGAAAAAAATGTTGAGAAAATGTTTTTCCCCCTTTATATGGAGTGCCTCAGGAAAATCCCTCACCACAGTTAGAGAATACATTCCATAAGCAAAACGGAGCCAGTCTACGTTTCATTGAAAATAACCTCCAAATTTAATATGTAGACGGTGCGACCATTGGGGCGAGCGCATTGTTCACTTCATATTAAGATCCACCTCTTCAAACCGCACGAGACATTTGGAACGTCTAGACTGTGATGTCACATGACGTCGTATGTTAGTTGCTTTTCCATTAACAAAGTTTAAAAAGTGTGAAGATTTTAACAAAGAAATGTTTAATCTACTATCTGTATGCAATATCCATTAAATTAAGGTCAGTTTATTTTTTGTGAATTTTTCATTAGTGTTACCGCGCGAATGAAGTTAGCAGCGAGAACAAGAAGCGATGCATTGTGGGTCCAGAATTACTGCGGAAAAAAATTCTATTGAATGAATGTGCAATAGTCCGAATTTTCTCTTCACCCAGGCGTTGTCGTTAGAGCTCACAGTGATGAGCGGCGCTTTGCACCGCTCGCTGCGCTCGCTATTAATCATTACAAACCATTCTGAGCTTGCATACCTTCTAAATGAATCCGGGTGGTTTCACCCCAATTACCTGTTTGCTCTGGATCATCAGTGGGTGTTTAGATCAATTAACATAATTAATGAGCACTTTAATTAAGTTAGTTGCCAATCAATACCAAATAATTGTTTCTGATTTTAACAACAGATGATACAAACTTTCTTTCAGAAATCATGAACATGGGAAAATTACAACAGTTATCTATGTTTAAATATGTAAAATAAATAAATTTAGCTTAATCGTTTCAATTTTATTCCAATCTCCATCTTTTTCTGAAATTTTGAAGAAAAATGATTTACTTTAATATTAAAAAATGTAATCATAATAGGTGTACTGTGTAGATCGCTTTGGATACAATAAAAAAAACTTTCACATAGCACACACACAAAAACCACAAACATAGGACATTGGCAATTTGTCTTAGCAAAATGCCAAAATCCACACATGCAAAAATTTGCCACCTTTAGGGAAAGGTTACAGGTATAATAGGGACAAAACCACTCCCACTCAGAGGGAGAATGTAATCAGGGGGAACCCACCCATTATTTTCTAACCCCCCCCCCCCCATTTAACTGCAGAGGATATAGTGAGAAAAATGTTTGTTATTTTGACAAAAAAAAAAAAAAAAAAAAATTCAAGAATGTAAAAGTCATCTTAGTATTAATGTTTATAACTCTCTATGGAGAAAGGGGAAACAATATGATTTTGAAAGCCAAAGTTTTTAAAACACATATCTGCATTAGGATGATCTAAAAATCTTAAACAAGCATGGTTAATTAATAAATAAGTTAATTGAAATGAATTGTTAGATGAACGTAAGTGTTTGTTACTTTCAAAAAAGTTAGGGGAGTTTCAAGATATTGGCCGTAAAATATTTAAACTTCTCAAAATCCCTGTTTGGAGGGTTAAAGATATTTTAGTGTTAAATCCAGACCCTAAAAAGGGCATGGTAATTCAATAATCAATAGGGCACTTTACGCCGCGACAAGTTTTCTTGAGGGCACTTTTTTAACGTCTTTGAAATTATAAATATTTTCTTTATCATGTTTATGTACCTAAATTATTATTTAATACTGAAATCTTTAGTTATACAAGTATCTAAAAGAAAAATTTATAAATCTGTCCGCTTAATTCATTTAATACACATTGAGAGGGCAATTATATATATTGCCAAAATTTTAAGTTCAATTTTTGTAATTAAGAAATTAGTATGGTTATCAAGGTTCTGCTTAAAAAGTAATTGGTGTGAATCTTTTTGTCACTTGCTCAAGAAATATTTTAGTTTGGGGTATGAATTTTTTCCCTTGCTTTAATATTGTTATTTGTTTATGAGGTAAATAACAGAACAAAATTGCAAAGGGGGGGGGGCTACTTGGATAATAAATGTAGAGGGCATTCTCTTTATTTTGAAAATAATCTACCAACAAAATCAAGTGAAAACTGATCATACCAAAAAAATTAGACTTGAAATAATATACAAATTGGTAAAAACTTTTTTTTCTGGCTTAGAAACATTGAGCCTCTGGGTGTCAACTCAAAAAGTTAGAACACAGAATCATTGAACATGTTGAAAGAAACTTCATACTTTGTTGTTTCCTAGCCCATTTCACACATAATATTCAGTTTTTTGGTACTGTACATTGTAAGTTGACTTAATTCATCAGCAGTTTTATTTTTCACATTTCTTCATCAACTCTGTTTTTTCCTACTTTCAATTTAAAAAAAAACGATCCTGATTTAAAATGTGTAACATTTCATTTACAAATTAATCTATCTTTGACATTGGGCTAATTCTTGCATAATCAATGCAATCAAATGATATTTTCTCGTGTTATCTCTTATATCCTAACAGCCTGAGGCATGTTACCTGTCCAGGTGCCTGTGTGCGCTCAAGCGAGAAGTGATTTCCTTCCTGAATTCACACCTTTGCGTGCATTAAATAAACAAAGGGGCTAATCAGCATGCACTGAATAAACAAAGCCGGTAGTCCATCTTGCCTCTGCTAGGCGTATTTATTTATTTTTGCAAGGAAAAAAAGGGCATGGCGCTGGAAAAAAGGGCATGGCACCGAGAGAAAAGGGCATGGCGCCGCGCCATGCTAGTTTGCTTTAGATTTAACACTAATATTTTGATTGTCAAATGTTCAAAAACCTTCAGAGTTATTAACAACCTTCAAAGTTATTGTTGGGGAGAGGTTCAAGATAAAATCGCCATGAAATATTGAATCCCCTATTTTAGATCAGTGGGAATTGATGTCTAGTCTCTCACAGTCTGAGTCATGAAATGACAGAAATAATGGACCATTTCAAGTTTTTTATGCCCCCCGTATCGAAGATTCGGGGGTATATAGTTTTTGCCCTGTCTGTCCGTCTGTCTGTCCGCAAAAACTTTAACCTTGCCCATAATTTTTGATTGGTTGGAGCTACGGCTTTCATATTTCATGTGTGTATTCCTTGTGACAAGACCTTTCTTTGGGTACCACCATATTTGACCTTTTGACCTTGGCGTTTGACCCAGTTTTGCAAAATTTTACCAAACTTTAACCTTGGCCATAATCTTTGAAAGGTTGGTGCTAGGGCTTTCATACTTCATATATATAATCCTTGTGACAAGTCCTTTCTTTGAATACCAATAACTTTGACCTTGGAGTTTGACCTACTTTTGGAAAACTTTAACCTTGGTCATAACCTTTGAATGATTGGTGCTTCGGCTTTCATATTTCACCTGTGTATTTCTTGGGAGAAGGCCTTTCCTTGGGCACCATTAATTTTGACCATTTGACCTTGACCTTGATGTTTGACATACTTTTGAAAAAAAAACGTCAACCTTTTCCTTATCTATTCAATGGTTGCTGCTCGGGCTTTCATATTTCACAGGTTTATTCCTCAAAACAAGACCTTACTTTGGATACCAACATATTTGATTTGCATTTGAGAAAGTTTAACCTTTGCTATAAGTTGCCATACAAGGGTATCAATGTTTCACAAACACATCTTGTTTTTTACCGTACTTAAGAGGAGTAGGGTTCAAGATATTATGATTGGAAAATATTTATCCAAGTTACAAAATATAAGGAATTAAGGATAAACTAGAGGATTGTTTACAATTTTTTAAGAATTGAATTGTTTTGACCCTCTTTCAGGCCAAATTAATACATATACTTGAGGGATTGCGTCTGATTCAGTAATTTGCAACATGTCTTCATTTTCATATCACCCCCTTTCAATGTCCTGCAAAAATACTTCAAGCCCTGAGGTTGATATTCTGTTAGAGGTTTCATTCAATATTTTGAAACTCTTATTCAGTGGTAGACATTTGAACCTAACAATCATGAATAACTTGCAACTTTTTAATGATGATTACTGGTATATGGGATAGTATGTAGCCTTTTCTACACAATGAATCTCTAAAGTAAAATTGTAACAAGAATATTTAGTACACTGTATATATGTTATGTTTAAACAATTTACAAATGATAGTTGCTAGAATTAACATGTATAAAGTGACTCTTCTGTACTATGTATGCTTTTTTTCCAGATAGGTTATGGTCTTCCATTAAAAAGCAACTGTGATGGAGGAGTTTCGGTACACTTACATAAGACTGTGCAAAGACAACCACGTAGAGCCACAGGAATGTGTCCTCAGCTACTTAAAAAGGTATGTAATGATATTCAAAAAGTGAAATCCTCAGCATATCAAGCATAATATTTTTTGTAGCAAAGAATGATTTAGACTAGACAACTTAAAAAAAAATTGACAAAGCTGTTGTCGAAGTTATAAAAACTAGAAATGTCATATGGAATAACCATCATGCTCACTTCATTTGCAATTATTTGTATTTTATTTTCTTTCTTTAAATTCTTTCAGTTTTGAATCTACACCCAAGCGTGGCAAAACAGTGCTAAATTTATCAACCAACAGTCTATCCCCAAAAACATGTCACGTGTTGGGAAAAGTTATTGCAACTGATCGAACCTTTGTGGAAATTAAATTTGCTGATTGTATGCTTAGTGAAGATGGTTTGTATTAATATTTTAAGATAAATTTTGAAAATCCTAGGAATAAATACCGGTGTGTAGGAGTAAGAAGATTCAATAAAATTGTCCAGAAATCATACTTTAATATGATTGAAATAAAGAATTTTCGAGTGAGGTAACTGATTAGACCAGTTTTTAATTCTATTTCTTAATTTCTTTTTTTTTTCATTCTTGCAGCAGTGAAAGGCCTCTGCCATGGTCTCACCACTAATTCCTATTGTAAAATGCTTGACTTGAAGGTAATCTTTAAGTGTGGTGGAAAATTCATATCTCTACATGAGATATGTTTATTGAATTATTTGAAAAGTTGTGAATCTGAATGATGAAAAGGGGAGTTGCATATAAATAATTGTACATGCTCATGCTTGTATTAAATATTTCATATTTAAAGCTTTTCATAATGAATGCTGTGGCTCATTTTTGCAAAACACTAGTTCTTATATCCTTGTTGGGTGGAATATTTAATATGAACAAATGTATGACTTATTTATGTAAAGGGTAACAACATCAGAGGCAGTGGAGTGGAGGCTGTAGGGAAAATGCTGAGACACAACCACACCATACTAAGGTAAATATAATTCTACTGCTGTGAAAAATAATGACAAGTTTTCATTAATGTTATTAGGAAGAAACTGCATGAAACTTCTTTATGTGTGCCAGAGAGCTTTTTGTCCTAGAATTACTGTATGTAAAATAACTTTTACATGTACGTGCCGTATTTTTTCCCGAAGTTTCCCCTTTGGAAACCTTTAAAAGCTTTAATTTCCCAACCAAAAATATCCATGAATAATTTTGTGGACATTTCTCTCACATACATTTGTAAAAAAAAAAAAAATGGTTTATTAGTGTATAAATATACAGTAAAACATAAAAAAGCTAATCAATGAGACTAATGAAATCACTTAGTTATACCACACACCAGTTTTTTTTATGCATTATATTTTTTTCTGCGAATCAGACTCTATAAGTGTATACTAAATTTACATGAACCAGGTTTTCACTATTTCAAAGTGATGGTCAAATTATAATTTGGAAACTATTTAAGAAATAAAAAAAAATCATGTACTGAAGTGTCAAAAGATTTAGTTTATGTGTCAAAAAAAGTTTAAAGTTCAGTCACATTTTAATCTAATACCAGTTTTAATTGCCAATATACCTGCATCTTTAAACCAGTTAACCCATTCCTGATGTGTAGGACAGTTAGATTTGTATTTAAGAAAGTCATCCTTAAAAGTTGTTTTAGGTAGTGATAATATTCCCTGAAACTGTAACATTTTGCAATTATTGTTTAATGGCATACAACTTGTAAACATATAAGCTTCAAAATATTGAACGACAGATTTTTAATACCAATTAATTAAACAAAGAAAAATTGCTGTAAAGTAGCAGTTTCTACTAGGATACCTAATTAACACCCTGTTTAAAAGTACTGTAAATGCATGTACCTATGAACCACAAGGCTCCTTTGGTCAACAATAAACATGCTAGGTACATGTACATGTATTTATGCTTGTGTAATCTTTTCCATTGACACATATTCTGATTTAGTAAAACAGCAGTATGTGTAAATGGAGGGACAAAAACAGTATTATTACCAACTCCTTGAACACAAATCCCAGTTGCAAATATTAAATTTTTTAAAAAAAAAATCTTAAATCATTGGGTTGGTGACTAGGCTTTTTCACAATTCGTAAATGCTTGCAAACAAAATGGAAATTGGATACACACAGAAAAAAGTGATATTCGGTATCTGCAATTCTTTATGTCTAGGAAATGAGTCATTACTATCTGGTACTTGGTGAAAATGCATATATCAGTTTTAATGAGGAATGGGCATTGTGCTTGCTATAAAAGTGTTTTATTGTATCAATATACATGTACTTAGTTGAGATTTGAATTTTGATCATTTTACTTTCACTTAACTTCAAACAAATCTTTTAAACACATTTCATTCAAACGAAAGCAAAATGTACATGCACATTTAGTAATTTCATGTATTGGCATAACAAACAATACAACATACACTTTGGTTTACTGTACTCGAAGTATTTTAATATTTTATATAAAACATGTAATCTGACTGTTTTCAGTATATGCCTGGAATGGAATGCCTTTGGTTTGTTGGATAACTCCTTTGCCATGTTCTGTGATGGCGTCGGATCCAATGACAATTTACAAGCACTGGATCTTCGGAATAACCAGATCAGTCATGATGGAGCAGTGGAGCTAGCCGCAGCACTGAAAAGAAACAATACCCTACGTGCTCTAGGTAAGAAGTTAGAGAATTAAGGAATCACTGTCTAGTTTGTTGGGTATGCCAGGGCATTAATGACAGTTGGAAACATAGGATAATTTGCATAACAGGCAAAGCATGCATGAATATCAAACCGTAATTATCTTAACATTTCATAAAGCCAATGGCTTTTGCTTCAGTTAAATGTTCTTCAATATTATAGTAAGGAATATGCTATGTAATTATCATTACACTCTAGATGGATTTACAATTTCAGATTTACGATGGAATAGCATTGGTTTGCTGGGAGGGAGAGCCATATTGGAAATGCTGAAGACAAACAAAACATTATGTCGTTTGGAGTTGGCAGGGAACAATATTCCAGGAGATATCTTAAAGTCCATTGGTAAGAATATATCCATTTTGTATCTAAAATAATTACAATTTGAAATTTTGTTTAGAAATATTGCTTGATTCCTGAGGTATTGTGATAACCTTTAACCATCGTTCTTCATTCAGTTTAAAAGTCTTAAGATTTTCTGAAGAAGTGCTTTTATCAGTAAACAGAGAAATTTTTTGATGAAGATAAATACTCTTTTGTTTTGTTTGTTTGTTTGTTTGTTTTTACTACAAATGAGTTAGGTTCATTGAAATGTTTATGAAATATTTTCAGATTTAGCTATCAGTCAGAATGAAGACAGAGCTCTTTTAAAAGATGACCACAAAAGCAAAATGACTGTAATGGCTAAACATGTTAAGCAGTTGGAACATGAAAAGAAACTAGAGGTTTGAAATTAAAGTTTTTCTCCAAAGTACCAGATGTTGTTTTGTTGCAAAATGAATTTCAGTTTCATACAAAATCAGTATGTCATCTATATAAACTTATTTTATTATCTTCACACAAATATGTTGGTATCAGTATACATGTATATATATCAAATTTCTGCGAAGATTTACTAGTATTTTCTACAAATTCCCACTTAGAAATCATTATTGTACATGTACCAGCAAGATTATAGCCATCTTAGTTTTGTTAAAATCTTTCACCTGATGTTTTTAGATAAGTGAACTAATGGATACAATAGATAAACAAGAAGATCTAATGAGGCGATCAAAAAGGTATGGAGTCTTAATGTACAGTGTTTTTAATGTAGTGTTAAAATCCAGAATAATCACTGCATCAAAAAGTTAAATAAGTAACTATGGTAAATGTAATTCTTTTACATTACCTGCCACATTTTAATGTTGTAATGAAATGATACTATATTATAACCATGCTATTTTGTCATCATATTCCAGGTCTACTAGCACTAAAGTTGACCAACTACAAAATGCACTCGAAGAAAGAAAAGCCTCATTCAACTCCTTAGCTGCAAAGTAACTTCCTTATTTTTCTTTTTAAAACATTTTTTTCAGTGTTGATCCTTATCAACTATTAGTAGAATTACCTAAGAGTGTAGCTGTAATGAGAGTCATTTTTTTTATAGACTAGCCATGACAGAGTCTGAACTTGCCCTCACAGAACAGAAAGTCAATGATGGGAATATGCTGGTAGCCAAACTGAAACAGGAACTGACAATCAAAGTGTCAGAGCACCAGGAGGAGATTAGGAGGGACCATGAGGTAGGTTTGTCATTCTGACCCCGTCAACCCCAATACATTATTAATCAGGTATTGTTTATACATGTACATTGTAAGTTAGGTACTGTAAGTCATACGCGAGGCTGTCTGCTTGTGAAAATTTAATTCTTGTGGATAACAATATTATTAAAGATTATGAAGAACAATAGCTAGAATTCATGAAAATTTCATCTCGCTTATAGATACAAAATTACTATATTGCAAAAATAAGGTGTGGCGAATATTTGGTGATCTAGTATTTGTTTTAAAAGACTTTATTTTATAAAGTCTTCAAATAGCATGATCTATCCTTTACATCTTAAAGTTATTACAGGTATAGAAATTTGCAATGATCCTGTTAATTTCATAATTCTTTGAATGATTGTGTCAAGAAGTTACCCTTATAAAATCAAATTTCTTTTACATGTATTAGAAGTTAATGCTAGTTTTCAGTACTTAAATGTTATCATGTGCTTAACTCATAACAATACAGGAAAGGGCTAAGCTAGAAGCTAAGCTGTACAAAGAATTATCTGAGGCTCACGAAAAAAACATTCAGCTGGAGACCAAATCGGAGGACCTGGACAGAAGATGTCGGATGCAGCAGGAACAGATATTTGAACTCAAAGAGCAAATCACACATTTACAGGCAGAAATGAAGCTCAAAGGATCACATTTTGATGGTGAGTTCAACAACGAAGCAGAAAATTTATTTCGTTTAATTAAACATTACATTAATTTATTAAAATTAATTTTGTTCAATTTGGGATGAAATTAAAGTATAGTACATGTACTTATATATAAAATTTTATGTTTGCATTTAAGATCGATTACAACAAGAGAAAACTCGACACAGAGATGAGATAAAGGAAGCAGAGCAGTTAAGACACAAGGAGGTTAGAGTAATAAAAGTTCTGCTGTTACATACATTGCTTTTATAGTTCTGCCGTTACATGTATGTTGTAAATCCGTGTATATGACTGATTTTCAGGTAGGGAGAGTAAGACAAGAATGCGAGGAGACAGAGAACACTCTAAGGGAGAGAATTCAGCGATTGGAAATGTCTCGTCTAGAATTGGAGGAGGAAATCAGTCGCCTGAAGAACAGCACCATGGTGGAAAAAATCCAGCATGAAGAACAATTATCACTGGCCAAACAGAAAATTCAGGCTGATGAGGTACCATTTTAATATGTGATCTTACAGTTCTTTATGATTCTTGATGTTTCAGAAAAATATAACACTATTAAACAAGTATAGAGAAGTTAATGATAAACAAAATTTGAAGGAATTCTTTCCCAGTGTATTATGTGCATATTCATTATGTTTTTTTTTTCTATTTCAGGAAAACAGATACAGGCAGATGGAAGAGAAGTTGAGAGTTAGTATGGCCCTGAAGGATGAAGTACAGAGCAGATGTAATCAACAGTCATCGACCATCAGTGAACTTCAGTCACGCATCAGCTCACTCACGTTAGAACTAGAGAATGCCAAGAAACGAGTGGAGGAGTCTAACGAGGTATAAACAGATTTCAAGATTTATGAATGTTATCACATTCTAGTATTTCTTGTCTATATCCATTTACTTACAAATATTATTCAAAGAGTGAACTCTGTCTTGGCCTTGGTTATTTGCTATAAAGATAAGTTTATATTTTCTTAAACTTTTTTTGAACCATGTTTTTTTTTGTTGTCTACTACTAATAGGTTTAATATTTATATAAAACTCAAGAATTGGCCATGTTGTTGGACTTACTTTCTTTACAAAAGTAGGGGTTCATCTCAGTACTTGTTTTTATTTTAGCAATTAGCTGAAAAGAACAGCATTACCCTATCTGAAGTAGGAAAAGTTAAAATTGAGCTAAACCAAACCGTCAACAAACTAGAAGCCGAGAGGAAACTTCAGACAGAGCTCAGAGAGAAACTTGGGGAGGTTGATAGAAAGATGTCAGGTAAGGACTTGGTGCAGTGTATTAAATCTACTGTGGTAAGAAAAATGTCCAGATTCTTTTGTTTACATGTACGCAACATAATGCCAAGGCTTGCTTTCAAATTTTCAGATTGATTTTATGATTTTAAGGAAATCTTACTGAAAACTAATTCCATTACAGAGCAACTTTTGAGACATCGAGAAATTTTAGAAGAAAAGGAAAATGAGATAGAGAGTCTCAAGAGACGCCTGAAGACTCGGGAGGCAGAAGTGAACAGCATTAGGGAGGAAGAGATGCAGAGAGCTCAGGTTCTACAGATGGCCGTAATGAATTACGTCAGCAAAGTCCCCCAGTCAGGAGACAAACTAGCCTAGGATGGAGAGATTCAGTCATAGAGAGGGTTGTGATAAATTTGACTACTTCAGTCTTGCATTTTAAGGACAAAGTATCCATGTTGATGGACTAGCACTTCAAAAAGCTATTCTTGAGAGAAATGTGCTTCCTGTTTGTCAGTAAATTTAGATATTGATCTCAAAATACAACCAAGCCATTCATTTGAAGATCATTAATATTTCACCTTACACACTGATATCTCCAAGGACTATAAGAAAAAAATGCACTTTAAAGGGTTTTTTTTGGTCATACCTATGGTCAGAATATTTGTTAGCCAATCCTAATGATTTACAATGGATATTAAGCAAGAATAAGTTGATATTATTTATTAAAAATCTACGATCTTTACAGTTAACATCAAAGATTTTCTTGAAGCTGTGATATGAATTTTCTTTCACATCACTTTTGATGTTGGTGTAGACATTACACAATGATCAACATTTTAGGGAGTGCGTGATGAATTGTATGTGTGAAAATGGTGGTTGAATGGTTTTATATTTGAAAGAATTCACTATAACATATATTTATATTATTTTTACATTGGTATGTATAGATTATTAATAAAATAATCAACTACAAACCTTGATTTTAGTTTTAAAATTTCTGTGTATTCTTTGAACTCTATTTTGCCTCAAGTGGGAACATCTAAAATAGATCATGTCATTTCAAAATAAAACATTGGACCATAGGTGAAAATTGGACCACTGAAGAAAAAAAAATCACAAAGAACTGGATTTGAAATATTTACTATCATCAAATTAAGTACTATAAAAAAGATATTTGTACAAAAAGTATTTACTTTAACATACATGTACAAGTAATCTGGCATTGGAATAACACTCGAGGCTTCTCACACAATTTTATTATGCAGTTCTCTTTAACAAGAGTTAAGATTTAGCCTGGATCTAATCCATTATATAGTGGCAAACACTGGGGACTGCTTTGATACCGTCCCTTATCCTCAAGCACCCCTTTAGGGGAACAGATCCAAGGGTCAGAGGTTAAATTCTGCCACTGATGCAGTTTGATTTTCAAGTCTTCAAGAATTTTTTTATGTGTAGGTTCTCCCCAGAGATTCACCCTCTCTTGTGGATCACTGATGACATCATATAGCTCCCATACATCCCGATAATAGTAGCTGTATAAAGATTTTGACCAATGAGTGGGGACTCCTGATTTACTGCGATTTAGAATATCCTGGAATGTTGGTGACACATAAAAATCTTGATCAATGGGAAAGGGCATTAGAAAATTTAAATTATGAATTAGTTTATACTGATTAGTTCGAATCACTCTCATTGGATAATACATAGTAAATTCATGTAAATTGTGGCTAGCATACACAGTATCCCATGATTCCGTATTATCAGAATCTAAAAGTGGGAGAAGAGATTTCCCAGTCAGTTGTACAGGATGGTGCAAAAGTTTGTACTGGGGGTATGGCACTTTGAACCAATCTAGCACTGTTGGCACAATATCCAGTAAACTTGTCATGGCACTGCTTCTCTGAAAATGAAGAGCATTGCTAATCATTATCCAAGTAGTGGTACCTCTAGCTCTATAATATATTGTTGAAATTACTGGCATTACAGAGGCCTTTGTACATGTATCTGCAAGGTAGGTAAGAAACAAGTCATTTTGGTAACTGGGGCCAAACCAGTTCAAAATGTATTACTTGTATCCCTTCCTGTATAACTTTAGTAAAAACACACAAAGAAGAAGGGCAATTAAGGAATGGTCCAGGTCCTCTTTCCAGACAGAGCAGAGGAATAAAATGTCCGATATCATGCCACTTGTTAGTAAACTAGTGACATAAAAATCCTATTTCTGTAATAATGCATGCCTGTTATGGATTGATTAATGAAAGATTATTAATCTTTAAACTTTTAAAACAATAGATTATTTACCTTTCCCCAGCTGGATTTATGGTATGGGGAGGACAAGAGAAATGGTTCAGACATCCCTGGATCATACAGATTGGTTCTACCACTGGGAAATGGAACACCATTATCCGAGGTGTAAATCACAAGAGTATCCTTTAGTAACCCATTTCTCTCCAGCTCTCCTAGAACAAGGCCTATTCCTGGAAAGGAGACATTCCATATTATCATTACACCTGAAGTTGACACTTGACAGGAAAACCCATTTTTAAAATCATTTTAGTAATGGATGGAAAGAGTTATTCCCCTTTGTGCATTTTTCTTTATTCTAACATAGTAGTGTTCTACCAAATACAGTTGAACTTTGGTATCTCGAACACTGATATTTCAAATACCATGGATATGTCAAAGTGATTTGAAAATCCCAACTATGTACTTATTCTTTAAGTATTTTACCCCTGATATCTCAAATCCTCGGATATCTCGAAGTTTTTTTTCTTGGTCCCATCGAGTTCGAGATAATGAGGTTTGACTATATATACGATTATTTGACAACAGTCTTCTGTATTATATTTTTACCTTGATCTAGCCTGCTGATGGTAGTATATTGAGCAGCAATATCTTTTCTAGCTGCTGGCGTGTCTGGGTTGAAGTATGGTACCTTTATGGAACGAAAGTCATAATGAACGGGATTCCAGTCAGGTATCTGGCCCATTTCAGTGCTAGAATTATCCCCAAACTTCTCACAGAAGGCCCCATATTGAGGATGAGTATGCCCACATCTGTGTGGGTCATGGAAACCAATGTACAAGAAGAAGGGGCTGAAAATATACTTGTAATTAAAATATATACAATAATGCAAGCAAAAAAGTTGGAAAATTGATGTTTTCATAATCATATGATGTGAATAACTGCTGAAGTCTTATATCATAATAACTAAAAGTTAATCATTAAAAGTCAAAAGGACCATGCAGTGTGGTTGTAACAGTAATCTTGAACTCTTGACCTTAGAACATACTGTGGGATTTTTACCTCAAAATCAAAAATACTTTACCTGTGATAATTAGGGTGCGTATCATTTTTGCTACATTTTCAAAATTGTCATTACCGCTACATACTCATTACCACTACAAAAAAGGTTACATTACTGGTACATTTAAAAGTATACATTACCGCTACACTGCCTCTACTTGCCAGTGGCTTATGCATGTACAGGTTGATTAAAAGTACAAAATAATACATTTAAGACCCGTTTCCCCTGCTCACCACAGGGGAGTGAAAGTAAGAATTTGAGCAGGATGTTTTTTTTTTTTTAAATTTTTATTTAAAATCTATATTATTTAATAAAACATTTTAGAAAGTTTTAAAAGTTAAACCAAACATTGTTCTTGGATAAAACACATAGTCTTTACATAATTGATAGAGTTTTGAAGGTCATTTGCTTGACGTACTGCTGTTTGGAAATCTCTGATAATGAATCATAATGAATCGAACTTATATTCAGTGGCATTGCTGGCTGATTCGATATGTAGTGGTAATGACCTGTAATCAGTAATAGCCTCTTTGATGAAATGTAGCGGTAATGATCACCCGAAATTTTGAAGAAATGTAGCGGTAATGAGTTCAAATTTTTCGCAATGTAGTGGTAATGTTGACCTCCCGATAATTATACTGTCAATAGGTTTATAAAAAAAATAATAAAGTTTTTGAGTCATATAAAGTTGTATTCATATAAGGATATATTCATAGAAATATTTGATTTTCACCTTTCATTAAACTGCAATCAAGTCTATTGTTCAAGGATGTGAGGAGAAATGAAAATTTTTGTTGAAAATAACACAGTACCTGTGTTACTGAATTAACTTCAGCATGAAATGGTTAAATTAATACTCATAATCCTTTGATCTTGACATTTGTTCAAGTGGCACCATAATCTACAAGTGTCTTTCTCAAATAATTTTTTTCTATGTAGTAAATTTGAAGTCTTTAGATTTTTAAAATATTTGGGTCCTACAAAGGTCAAATCAATAACCTTGACATCTGACACTGATCTTTGACCAGGACACCAGGTCATTATAGGATCTATATGTGCCCTCCTCTAGACTTCCTCTGCCTTAATGATTATATTTTAAAATATATCCATCTTTGACCTTGACAAAGCCTCCATCCTTCAGGTGCTTTCTTCTAATCATCCCACACCTATTTATGCTATATAAAGGCTGTAGATGAACATTTTTATTATTAAATCATATAAATCTTAGCAATATGCATGACCTTTGACTAGGTATCTCTATAGACTACAGAAAGACATACAAATGGACACCAAATTTCCTTTAAAGGCATCCAGAATATAGAGCCCTGATCAACCTACAGGTAAATTCTATTTATGATGGAATACTAAGAAATACAACCTGCTTTTATACATGGAGAGAAACTTGTTTACAAGCTGTTTGATGTGTGTAATGTTTCTTCCAACTTGTAAAATTGAATTGTTTTCTTCAGTTTCTTCAAAGTCAAATGAGTACACTGACTTTGGTCCAACATGCTTCTTCCCAATGATTCCTATAAATAGCAGCAATTATATTTGTTTTTACAGCAGCTTAATAATTGTCATTTATTGACAATGAATAACAACTAATAAAACATATTATTTAATTCTAATACATGTATATTGAATTATAAAAATTAATACATACTAAGCAAATTAGAAATGAAGTATTTCATTTAAGACCAAAGAATATTTAATAAATGCTAACCCTAATATTCTACATGTGCAATTGATAAAATGGCTATTTTCAAGTTATTAAATTCAGATACACAAGGAAGCAAACAATTATACAAGTTTTATGCCAATACATGTATGTTGATTATTCAATGTGTGAGCTTCATCTGCTTTATTTTAGAAAATTGAATTAATTTTTTCAAGTTTAAGGGAGTTTCTAAATGTGTGCTTAGTAAATTTGAAAAGAAGAGAATATTTACTTTAGATTCAGCTTGTTTACCTGTTTTAATATTTGATTGATGTAGTAAGTTTGGAAGACTGCGGACTCCATCAAATGACATGAAATGATGGGCATCTTGGTGAAGACCATACATTCCATTTTGGTGCTGGGGCAGTCCAGATAATATAGTAGATCTGTAACCAAAAAACTTATATATTGTAGGATTCAACAATTAGGACCTATAACATATTGCATCAGTGGATGGAAAGTGTGATTGAATGAATCATGCTTTATCAAGAAATAGTACTTAAAATATGAGATACTGTTAGCAAGCATGTATAATGACATTTTTGCTTTAATACATTTTTTGCTCCCCCCTGTAACCTTGACCCTGTGTAAATAAAACTGGGTCAGGTTCATGACACATTCTAAAATAATAAATAGCAGGTATGTGCTACAAATTTGTCCTTATGACAAAATTCACACCTTTTCTGACAGTGATGTTATACTTGTTCAAATGGCTAGTCTAAGTCAAGGTCATCACAAACCTGCAAATCATAATAGCAGTCTTTGTTGCAAAGAGTTGTCATTTTTCTCAACTAAAAAGAAATATGGCACAAACAAACTGTATACATGTTACTGCCAGTGACCTTAAACTTGTCAAATTGTCAGATCATTAACAATAATAGGATAAAAATTCACAGTTTTTCTTTCATTGACTTGAATAAACCCAATTCATGTTGAGTCAAGGTCATAACACTAGGCCAAGAGCAATTTTTTTGATCAAGTATGATCTTCTTGTAATGTGTCTTTTATAGAATTTTGGTCAAGAAACTAATGCACACACAACTAGACTGGCAGACAGACATACAAAGTGACTTCTATATACCACAAAGCTTTGTTTGCAGAAACTATAATTACATGTACTTCCGTAATTATTTTGAGCATCAACAAACTACATTGTTGCTAGATCTAGAACCATCGTTTTTCATTCATTTTACAGATCTTAATTTCTGTTAGGATAAACTGTAAAATCACTTATTTTTGTGGTGTCAAATTTTTACAGTTTGAGGAAAAATTATTGATTCAAGAGGGTTTGATATTGTGGTTAAAGTGAAAACATAATACAGTAGCATAAGATTTAAACATTTCGATAAAACTTAATCATGCAACACTCATTTTTTTTTTACTTCTATTTCTTCTCATTTGAACTTTAATTTATGTGCGCAGAAATTTCACACTTAGATATATTTAAAAAATCCCTCCATCATTGACTCTGTTTTTATTACCTGCTAGGTGAGCAGCTAATCCCTCCATCATTGACTCTGTTTTTATTACCTGCTAGGTGAGCAGCTAATCCCTCCATCATTGATTCTGTTTTTATTACCTGCTAGGTGAGCAGCTAATCCCTCCATCATTGACTGTGTTTTTATTACCTGCTAGGTGAGCAGCTAATCCCTCCATTATTGACTGTGTTTTTATTACCTGCTAGGTGAGCAGCTACTGACTGAAGTGTAGGCATGAGTGAAAATGAGGCTCTGAGATCCGAGCTTGTTCAGATGAGGAGTTTTACATACACTGTTGTTATAAACTTGTGTCTCAAAACCAGCATCATCAGCTATTCAAAGAAAATATCATGATTAAAAATAAATCTGTAGACTTATATCAGAGTTCAAGGTCACTAGCAAAGTAACTCTGTAATTCTTAATTGGAATGTAATCAGAACAAGCTTTTGTTCATTGTTGCTGATGACCCAAAGTGTGGTAAAGGTCTTGTCATATTGTCAAAATCACTTAAGAACAAGGTTATATGTGTGTGTCGGGGGGGGGGGGGGGGGGCATTTTTGTTTTGGTGAGTTACCCTTTCAGTACAGCTTTAGTAATTACAAGGAACATTTAGAAAAAAAAATTTACTGAGTATTTTGTACTTTATAATGAGGTGTTCTATTTCATCCAAAATGAGTGAAAAGTTGAAACAGTTTTTGTGGGAAGGAATATAATTGATTTTGATGTCTTCTACTTCATGTTTAACCGTAGGAAGAATTAAGAGAGCCTTTTTGCTTGTGATCAATATTAAGAAATATTTAGTACATTTGATCCATTTGTATTTTTCTTATAGAGTGTGTTGAAAGCTTTGGCATTCATACTCCTTAACACAGACACGGACTGTGGTCAAAAGGTTAAAGAAATTATTTTTATTTATTTTGATGCTGAATGCTGTATATGTGCAACATTATAAACAAAAATCTTTAATTTTACAGAGCAGCGGGTAATCATTTAAACAGGCATAATATTACTGTACTCAAGCAACATTTTATTAATCTACCATGAAAACAATAAATGTGTTAAACTGTGAATTTTGGATGTGCATCGAGTCATGGGGTAACGCGTTATTCAATTTGTCAGCACAGCTGTCTTTGTTGTGACTTGTATGATGAATGTCCAAAATTTACAATGCTTAATTAAGTCAATTAGATTCAACTACATGATGCACATGCAGGCAAATGAAATTTTATTAATTAGTTGTAAATAAGATCAAAAAGTCCTACCCCCTCAATATATAAAATAAATGATTTTATAGATAGATATATATATAGAGAGGGATACGATTTTTTTTTTATCTAGGCACAGGGACTGAAAGTTAATATAATATAAATATTGAGTATGTGCATGCATAAAAAAGGATGGATGCACATATTTAATATTTACACTTTCAGTCCCCGTGGAACTACTTCTGCTTCATTGCGTTGCAACTGATAAAATTTCCGGTGCCTATCATTACATTTCATGACAGTAATAAAACAATATCTTTTTTAAATATAACTTACCGACGATCAACAAAACGTTTTTACATGCACAGTCTAAACTATTGAATATAAACACAAAGTATCTGACAAATAAACAAAATCTTTCCATGATTAACAAATTACTAGCATGTTTCTTTTTCGTCAGAATCAAAACAATATTCTACTTTCACTTTTAAGATAGAGGACTTCCGAATGTCACAAAGCACTTTGCTCCCTGTCAATATTATATTTTGGATGGGTAGGTTTTCCTTCAGAAGTTCAGAATTTCAGTGAAAATAATACATCTATCAACATAAAATTCACATAAGGACTCACCTTTAGAATATTTCATACATTCAGGGGGATTTTTAATCAATTGCAGACGTTTAGATGGTTGTATTTCTTTCTGAGGAGGTTCATGAAAAATTAAGAACAACCGTGAGCTGAAATACATGTATATTGTTTGAACTTGTATATATATACATCATTTGATCAAAAGAGGTGGATAATTCCTTAATAATTAATGTAGTGTATAATTTGAAAGGCATATGTACAAATTATACAGATAGCCAAACTTTATGGTTTTGATTTGACAACTTAGGAAGAGGGAAATTAAAATCTGTAAAAACTTTGTACAAGTAGAGCCTAGATGTATATATACAGTATATATACATGATATACCCATATATGTGCAATATCATAAACTGGCTCATGTACTTTAGTAGTAAGTACATTTTACAATATGATTGGAAAAAGTTATGGGGTATGTATAAGTACATGTATTGTGAAATTACTTGATTAAAAACAATTAAATGTTTCTATATATATTTATATGCTATGCCCCTAGCCCCAATATCGAAATCAGTAATTAAGCCACAGAGTGATCATTTGAATCAGAAATTTGATTTTAATTAGGTTTGAATGAACAACATGAAGGTCAAGGTGCAAAAAAGTAGGCTAGATTTCTTTTTTAGCTATCATCACCATGATCCTGTGTTTTGTTCTAGTTTTTTTGATTTACCTGGATGGGTGTAGATACAAAAATTAGAACATGAGAACTTAGTTTTTAAACCCATGCACCCAGAACATGACAAATGTATCCTGGACAAGGATGAGTTTTGGATTTTAGTGCTATAGATATCAAAAGTATTTGTTCTCAGTTTTCTACTCTGTTCTTTTGCTGTAAATATAATTGTTCATACAAAAAATTACAGTAAAGTTCTGAATGCCAGGATTTATCTAGAAAAGTTTGAGCAATACTGATGCAATCTGAAAATTGGTGGTGGATTTTGAGTGAGGTTCATATAAAAATGTGGCTGAAGCAAAACAATACCTGATTCATTTGCTAGTTCAGATTTCATTTTTTACACATATGACTTGGATTGAAATATTTCTGAGATGAAAACTAGTGTGTGGATATCTTTATTAACCACATATTCAAAAAATTTGATGACGACAAGTTGAATTTTTTTGTACTGTTTATGTGAAGGAAGTATTTGTGTCCTGCATTTGAAATTTGATTTTATTGCATCATTTAAATGTTGAAAGGGGGGGGGGGGGATACAGTTTAATATATTTCTTTGCATTTTCGTTAAATTGTTTAGTTTTACCGTAAGACACCAAGGGGAAAGGGGGGGGGGGGTTAAGGATGCACAGATTAGTTTTGCTTCCACATTTATACCCCCCATCCCACCCCATCTTTTCCCAATAATATTTGAAAATCAACCTTGGTTTATAATTAACCACAGCCAGTCAGACACCCAGCTCTGAATAACAAAAGATAATTAGGTTGACAATTGGTCTAAAGTTCCCATATGGATTGGTCTGTTTTATATGTTTTATCTGTTGAAAAATGTCACAAAAATTTCAGTTTTTAGTAACCATGGTAACACTGTTCATTAAAACAAAAATAATATAAAACTATGTATCTTTGTTGGTGTAATCTATCTTTGTACCATTTTTCTTGAAATTGGACAAAATCTGCAGGAGTACAATGTAGTAGTGTTTAGAAAGAATTTCATAGAAATTTCTTTTTTTTTTGTAACCAAGGCAACACACAATTTGTTGCTATCAAAAACTGATATATGGAGTATAGCCCATTTGGTTACCAAGTTTTATTGAAATCGGACCAAAACTATAGGATGAGTAGCATTTTGAAAAATCATTTACAAACAGACAGACAGGTGTGTAACAGACACCTTACCATATGCTAATCTAAGCTCTTCTATGACTGGTAGAGCTAATCAATTTCATATTTTATAACTTATAATCTTAGTATCATCAGTTCCTTTTAACATTAAGGTCTGGGTTATTATACAATACACAGTAGCAATTAAACTATGATACAGTTGTATTGCAATTATATCCATTATTCAATCATTTATTTGAATCTCTTCACCATTTTACAATAGTATATAGAGACTTACAACATGTAATAAAGAACCAAAATTAGTATGTTGCTATAAATGTGAAGTATGGGAATCCAGAAGCCAGAAAGTCAGGGTTTTTTCACATTATATAATCTCAGCATGATCAGATGTGAAATATTTGTACAGTCCTCTGTTTCTGGTCAACATAAAATTTTTTTTTTTTTAATTCTTAAAAAATTTACCAGTCTAGGAGCACAATTAGTGACCTACATGTATATAATAACAGTTTGGGCAGACATTAATAGAGTGATGCATGTACTAGTATTTGCGTTCGTTGAAGAACTGGTAGGTGAAGGAAAAATTTGACACAATTCTAGTGGTTTAATAAATTTCTTCTGCACTTTTACAATCTAGGCTATTGCAGACATTTATTATCAGCTAGAAGTTCAATATTTTATATTGCTCAGTATTAAAGAGTTCAAAATGTAGTAAAATATGTCTAAGAAGATGATTTTCAAGATACTGATGAAATAAGTCTATAAAAAAAGATTATGATCTTATTTCTAAGAATCCTTTTAACATTAAAAGTGTATGAAAAATGGGCATTGTAATAAATTATGTGTTTAATCTACACAGTGAAATTTTATGCTCCTTTCATTAAATTGCCAGGAATGCAACACTCAAGCCCATGCAGATACCCCAGGCTACATTATTTACTACATGTACAAATTGCAGGTAAATGAGTAAGCATATCAAACCAATCAGGAAGAGATATTGGACCAATGTCCATTGACCTCATTATCATTATTCCCCCTCCCCCAATCTGCTCAAATGTTATTTTTTGTTTACTAGTTTCAAATTGCCATTCAAAGAACATTACCGTCATTTACTGTATAATGTACCACTATTAATTTTCTTAGCTACAAGTGCATCTGTTTTTATTCATTTTTCTCTGTCATCATTCCTACTTGATGTATTTTTTGGTCCTTTCATAATCATTCTCTTTCTTTCAGAACCACTGGACCAATTTCAACCAAACTTGACACAAATTACCCTTGGGTGGAATTCAAGTTCTTTTAACTGAAGGATCATGCCTCTTTATAAAGGAATTAGGAGAATCAGGAAATGTAAAAATAGGTGGGATCCTTAAAAAAATGTTCTCAGAGAACCACTAGATCTAAAGTAACAAAACTTTTAAAAACTGCCATTGTAGATTTTAGATTGTTTGAAACATAGCCCCCGGGGATAGGGTGGGGTTACAATAAGGTATCAAAGTTTTTAAAGTTGGGACTTTATAGGAATTTTCTCAGGAACCTTGATCACATCACACATATGCAAACATTCACAAGTTGAGTGGATTCATTTTTTTTTAAATAAAATAAAATTTAATGAGACTTTCACTGAATCTTTTTTACCAGTACATATTAGTGTCATTGTGCACCTCATTTTTTTGATTGGTCCAGGAGAGATATTTGGGGTTTTTCACAGCAAAATATGCATTTGGACACTGCCATTCTTTCTATAATATTTGGGGTGTACCCATCTCTTATCCACAACTCCTCCTATACAGCAAGATAAAATTTGATAGTTTTACAGAATCTTTGTTACATAGTGCCATTGTGTACCTCTTATTTTACATTTTGATCTGAGAGATATTTGTAGTTTCTCATGACAAAACATGCACACTGCCATAATTCTTTTTATATTATTTGGGGTACCTCCTTCTATACCACCAAATACAATTTAATGAAACTCTCACAGGATCTTTATTACATAGTGCCATTGTGTACCTCTTATTTTATGTTCTGATCGGACAGATATTTAGGGGTTTCCATAGCCAAAATGGACTTTGCCATTATACTTATGTGGCGGGAGGGTATCTTTTTGAGCTCAGTGATCACAGTGCCTCTAGTTTAATTTCATACAGTCAGGTGATCAATTCTGGCTCCTTGGAACCTCACGTTTTATCAGATCAGTTCACCTACTTTCTTTGTAAGAATGCAGATCAAGTGATACTTCCATGTACTCTTTGGGTACTGTAATGTTCCATGATAGGACTGTCCAGTTATGAGTGCATTTTATTTTTAGGGAGCATTATCAAAATATGTCATAAAATTCTTGTTTATTAGGACAACAGGCTTACAATTTTTAAGTCAAACTAAAATATCCTTGAACATATGCTGTTGAGCTTTGAATGTTCAAAGCAAGTTTTATGGAAAACAAACTTGAAATGGACATTTTGTATACAAACTATATATTACTTTCTGGTAGAGTCTTGTAAAAGTGGGTCTTTGAAAACATCAAAAACAGCTGGATAGCAGGTAAATATGTTGTAAATTACAAAGGGAAATAGAAATCAAGATGAAAGAAACAAAAGACTTTACAACTGTGAGTAAATCAGTGTGATCCAAGATTTCAAGAGATTTCCAATAATTATCACAGATAAGGACTGCATTTAGGACCACCTCCAAGATAAGAGAAAAATTTCTATCATACCCAGAGAGAAGTGGCCAATAAAGTTTTTAGTGTAAAAAGGAGAATAATTGATAAATTACAAGTACATGTAGACCTGTAAAGTGCAAACTCTGTATTTGAGAGACGATAGATTCTTTCATTTTGGAGATGCCCTCACAAAATGTAATTTACAAAGTGCTTAGTAATTCAGATTTTTACGTCTCATGATTGAAGATGGATGGAGGAGAGGTGTCTTTTCATATGTCAGTTCAATTTAATGCAGGTCCTACATTCTGAATTTTGGGCAACCAACTATGCAAAATGAGGAAATGTTATTTAATGGCTATAAGGTCAAAGCTTTATCAAGTCAAATTTATTTTTTCAGGTTTTATAAATTTATTTTTAAGGTGTAGCATAGAACTTGACTTTCATTTTGTGTTTCATATTAAGCACATTTTCTGGAATGATTGATATTTACAAAGCATTTTTTCTGTATTCAGTGACAATCATTGTTGTAGTTAGAAAAATATATTGTTAAAAGAATTACAGACAATTTTTAAAGTTTTAAATTCAGCAAATTCCCAAATCCTTTTAATTTTTTTTTATAAAATGCATAAGAGCAAGAGCCATTTAGGGCCTTTTTTGGCCCTGCACATTTCTGAAAAATTGAAACTGCCCAGTTTTGGTTGAAAATGCAGTATTTATAACTTGGACCCTTGGTGACCGTGCATCTATTGTACATGACGTAATTTTCTCTCTAGTCAATGCATTATGACGTCATAAAATGCGTCATTTTTCCCATATCCTGTAAATTCCCTTAAAAATGGCCAAAAGTTGAGATATTTTTTCAATATTTCATATAGAGCACAACCTCTGATCCAAAATATGCAATTACATAATGAAAGATCTGTTTCCGAAGATCACAAAATGTGTTTTAATTTTTGGATCGTGGGCTGTGCTCATATTTTAATTCTTTGCTGAAGGTAGTCAAATACACATGTTTTCTGCAAAATTCAAGAACATTGCATTTTCTCAAAGCCTGTTTTCCAATACCTGGATTCTCAAAAAGAAATTTAGTTACAGGAAATGAAAGCACTAAGTCTCTACTTTATTTTGATATATGAAATTGGACAGAAGTTGATAGCCAATTAATGGATACAAGGACAGGGCCATTTTATGCATAAAGTGAACCTAGCTCTTTATAGAATAACAGTCAAACCTCTTTATCTCAAACTCAATGGGATTGAGAAAGAACTTTGAGATATCTGAAGACTGAAGATATTGGAGTTAAAATACAATAATATAGTGGTAAGGACTTTCAAATCACATATCCAGAGTATTCGAGATGTATCAGAGTTTGAGATACCAAAATTCAACTGTATTATAATATATGTACTGCATTTGTACAGACCTCCCCCCCCCCCCCCCCCCCCTACAAAAAAAAAAAGAATGAATCTCTAAGAACTGGAAAAAAAATTGTACATGTATTTGGAGTTGTGCTTAAAATCCAAATGTCATATAGCCTTGATATACTTTTGCCCAAAACAGGAAAACAGTCATGTGAATTTGTGCAAGACTGAACATTGTGTGCACTTCTAAAACTTTGATGTAATGTCTTTTTTGTTCCTTTTATGGAGTCAACATATTGGATTTTAATTATATTTTGGCTCCTATCTAACTAAAATAAATTCTTTTCCTGTGGCCAATGTAAATGCCAAGCCATAAAACACCTGGTACAAATATTCTGTGAAAAAGGTGACATTTTCAGACCATACCATGCTTAAGAAAAGATTAAAAATGATCAGATTGTTTAGCCTCTGTTGATTAACATAAAGTTTGCATATGTTTTTTAACTTGAATTTGTAACAAATTTAAAAGAACAATCACTTTATAGACAGAAGAAGTATGAATGCATTTTGTTATCTCTTCTTTATTCAAACAAACCTTGCCTCTTTTGAACTTGTCCCCATAAATTTATCTATTTCCTCTTGCATATATAAAAGGATGACTGCTGCACAGAACCATGAGTCGCAACTCTGGGGAACGAGAACCACTTCTGGGGGACCAGTCCAGAAGGAGAACAAACTCCAACTATTCTGGGGAGCGCAGTCAGAGTATCAGTGCACCGGAGACGTCACGGGAGGAGGAGGAGGAGAGTATGGGGTTTACTGTGTTAGTCAAGAAGACGGCCAAAAAGCAGCTTAATGACTGCTGCAGCAAGGATAACCTGAAAACCAAACTTCCTATCACTAAATGGCTTCCACAATACAGGTACAAGAAATTAAAATATATGTATAAGAAACATGTTGCATTTTGTATATCAGTACATGTGTTTGATTATTATAATCCTCCAACTCACAAAAATGTTTTCATTTTCATAATCTGAAAATTTTATGCCTGATTTGATTATTGTTTTTCATTGAAATAAACCAGATTAATGAGAAAATATATACTGTATATTATCAGAGTATTATAAAAAATACATTTAAGAATTGTCCAATTACTAGTACATGTACATTGGTAACCATAAAATCTATGGAAAATATATTTATGGAAATTTAGCAGATATTGGCTATTGCACATGATTAATATAATGAAAATATTTACGAGAAAATTTGCAGAATGAATTTTTTAATACAAACTTGACTTGAATCATGTGACAGATTTCCTGATACTCCGAACGGAGAGAAAAAAGTGTCTAAGAACTGCTTTGCAAGCCAGTACAGACTATATATATGCTTTTATAGTAAAGAGTTTTTCTTTTCTTGATTCAAATTAATTATTTTCTTCTTTCTACACCTGTACTATTAATACTACTACCAAAAATTACTTTCAAGATTTCAGTTTTCAAGGGGGGGGGGGCAATTATTATTGTTTACCAGTAAAATTTTTGGAGTGTTTCTATTATAGATAAATTAAAGAAATCTACTCTAGACTAATATTCAAGAGCCCTTATTACTGGTCTTTTGTTTAACAGTTTTATGCCCTGTTCACACAAATGTGCATTAAATATTTCATTCGTAGTAAATTAATGCAAAGTAAAATAATGTGAATTAAATTACGGTAATGCAAATTAAATTGCATTCACACAACAGTTAATCCAAAGTAAGTTAATGCTCATTAAAATTTTATTTCTACAGTAAGGCTTGTTTATGACTCATTTGCAAATCACATCACCTTATGTAGAGCAGATATACATTTGATATAATGTCGTAATGTCTGTACACATTTTTAGTGATAATCTTAATTTTCCTTTGTTTTTCACTCAAAAATAGGATGAGTACATATATCTGACCACTGACATGTGGCTTAATTTTGCTATAATGCATACATCAGAATTAAATTTGAATTAGTTTCGCTTAGTGTTCACATGGAGTTAATGGGAAGTAATTTGATGCAAAGTAAATTAATTCAAATAAACTAACTCGCATTAAATTCTCCGTGTGAACGCGCAGTAAATTCCCAGTAACTTACGTTTAATTCGAATTAAACTCTCTATGTGAAGAGGGCATTACCCGGTAGTTCCACAGCTTCAGCACTGGATAAGATATAACTGTTTTAACATGCATCAAAAATCAGCATAACTTATTTAAAACAAAAATGACATTGTGAAGAAATGGAGATTTCAACAAAAACCTGTTTTGCAGTCTACGCCATTTACAATGTGACGTGATCGCTGGCTTGACTGTAGGACTGACAGTTATTCCTCAGGGATTGGCTTACGCTAAAATTGCAAATCTTCAACCTCAGGTAATAAAACATATCCTTTGTTAAATGTAATATTTATAAAGCATTTCTATATTGATTGGACAGAAAAAAAAATAATATCACTCAGTGAAGAAATATTTAGAAAAAAAAAATACAGTTGAACTTCAGTATCTCCAGCACTGATACTCGAATACCATGGATATGTCAAAGTGATTTGGAGGTCCCAAACCCCTTTTTCTTTAAGTACAATGTACTTTACCCTGGATATCTTGAATTCTCAGATATTTCGGTCCCATTGAGTATGAGATAATAAGGTTTGACTGTATGTGTAATTATATTTTACATGAGGCAGGCATCAAAAATTCATTTTAACCAGATGATATCTGTAAATTTTGAGTGTAAAATTTTACACAAAAGTCCAAAAATTCTGGAAACAACTTTACACTTTAGTATAAATACATGTTAAAAGCCTACCAGAAATTACCAGTTAATAACTTATACTTCTAGCTAAGTTGAAGAAAAGCCTATCATGACCAATGCTTGTAAGACCATGCAAGGCCACCAGTGCAAAGCAAAACTATGATTTTTGCATTCTATTCATTTAAAGTCTGAGAACCAAAAACTTATGGTGTTTATAGTAAAAACAAAGATAAGTTTACATTTATAAAGTTTAGTTAAACCAAATCAGAGGAATTTGATATCTGAAGGTAACAATATTTGAAGATATAAAAGCCAGAACTTTAGGTCATTCAAACATAATTACAGGTAAATATGACTATTATAGAATACATGTATCATTTTTATGTTTTACCTGTGTGATTTACACAATGAAAATAATCCCTTGCTGTGAGGATGAATCTAATATTATACTATGTCGATCAGTGTCAACTGATTATTTCTTGATATAATACTAATTAATAATTGGATAATTATTGAACAATTTTTGAGATAAGCAATGGAATCTGTGTTGAAGAATATATACATTGCAGAATACATGTATATAATTTGGGAAAAAGGGTCAAATTAAGCATATTTCAAAGGTTCTAGTATACTAATGAAGTAAACAATCCTGACAGAAGGTGAAAGGTCAATTACCATGTAATTGTCAATGAGTACCTAGTTAACTGGGTACTCACAGAAAAGTAAAATAGTCAAAAACCAGTTTCTTCAGGTAAAAAAAAACACATTGAAATCCTGTAATTAATGGTTGTAAATTAGGTTACAATTACATGTTGTTTAGGTTTGAATTGTTTTATATACCTGTCCAAAACTTTGTCTAGGCATGATTTTTGACTTCATTTTTAGCTCACCTCGACGAAGTCGAGATGAGCTTATGCTATACCCCCGGCGTCGGTGTAAGCGTCGGCGTGCCGGTTTAAGTTTTAGGAGCAAGTCCATTCCCAAGTAACTATAAGCCCTACCTGGACCAAACTTGCATGAATGATGGATCTAGGGATGGACACTACCACACTTGCTTCGGATGCTGGATCTGACATAGATTTTCCAGATGAGTGACCAGGTTAAAGTTTTTGGAGCAGGTCCATTCCCAAGTAACTATTAGCCCTAACTGGACCAAACTTGCATGGATGATGCATCTAGGGATGGACATTACCACACTTGCTTCGGATGCTGGATCTGACCTAGATTTTCCAGATGAGTGACCAGGTTAAAGTTTTTGGAGCAGGTCCATTCCCAAGTAACTATTAGCCCTACCTGGACCAAACTTGCATGGATGATGCATCTAGGGATGGACACTACCACACTTGCTTGGGATGCTGGATCTGACCTAGATTTTCCAGATGAGTGTCCAGGTTAAAGTTTTTGGAGCAGGTCCATTCCCAAGTAACTACAAGCTCTACCTTGAACAAACTTGCATGGATGATGCATCTAGGGATGGACACTACCACACTTGCTTGGGATGCTGGATCTGACCTAGATTTTCCAGATGAGTGTCCAGGTTAAAGTTTTTGGAGCAGGTCCATTCCCAAGTAACTACAAGCTCTACCTTGAACAAACTTGCATGGATGATGCATCTAGGGATGGACACTACCACACTTGCTTTGGATGCTGGATTCGACCTAGATTTTCCACATGAGTGAATTTTAGCCATATTTTAACCAAATTAGCATGGATGATGTAGCTAGGGATGGTCACTTCCAGACTTGCTTTGGATTCTGAATCTGACCTACATTTTCCATATGAGTGACCAGGATAATTTTTTTGGAGTAGCTATATAACATTATGGCCTGTTGTGATTAAACTTGCATAGATGGTGCATTTAAGGATGAAAACTTCCAGACTTACAGGGTGTCCGAAAAGAAAGGTAACATTTTCATACTTTTGGAATGCAGATTTAATGTTGAAAAATTTATATCAAAATATGTACACCTATAAAACAAAGACGTAAGTTTGTTCTGGTAGCATAATTTAGTTAATATGTCAAATAATGTTATTTTAACAGCGTTTAAAGTACAGAGTACCTATTTGTCATTTCAGTAATTAATGACGTTCTCTAAATGACGTCCTATCATCAGCTTCCCTTCCCTAACTCGCACTTTGAAATTGTTAATAACATTTTTACACATTTCTTCGCTGATCTTCTTAACTTCCCATTTGATGTTTGACAAAAGCATTTTGTGTCCATCGGTTTTGGTCTGTAAACAGAAGACTTGAGGTACCCCAGAGAAAGTAATCACACGGGATCAAATCAGGACTGTGTGCAGGCCAAGATTGTCCACAATCCTTCACTTCAGGGTATCGTCGGGAAATCACCTTGTCACTGATGATTTCATTGAAATAATCTAATACAATATTAGATGAATGTGCTGTTGCACCATCTTGCATGAAAAAGTTTGAGATCCTTCCTAAATATGTCATGAACATAAGTTTTAGGCATTCCAGTCTCTGAGGAGGAACGTCTAACTGATTTCTCTGGACTGTTAGCATTTCTCGAAGCGTACTCACATTTTCGTAGCTCCGACTTGACCCTGGCCGACCTGCTTTTGGAGCATCTGCTACTGATCCTTGTCGCTCGAATTTACACAATTATAATCTTGTAGACAGGTTTTCTGCTTACATTACAATTCTAAACTTTCGCTTAACGTCTGTTACACATTTGTTTCATAAAATTGTTTGATGATAAAAAAATGCTGTTCTGACGTGAGTCGCACCATATTGATATAACGTTTAATTGAAATGATTTCAGAGTGTCGGAACATCGTTTGTTTTGGCGCATTATTTTTTCAAATAGTAAAAACTTTCGTTTGAGACCTTTCGAATGATATCAGTTTCATAGAAATAGCCCCAGATTTAGCAAAGTTATCAAAATATTAAAGTGTGACCTTTCTTTTCGGACACCCTGTACTTCGGATGTTGGAACTGACCAAAATTTTCTTGATTAGTAAACAGGATAAACGTTTTTTGAACAGGTCTATTTCCAAGTAATATAAATCGTACGTAAACCAAACTTGCATGGACATTGATCTTTGGATGTACACTAAATAAAAAAAAAAATATGATGTGAAATTTGCCTTACTTAAAAATAACATTCGTCGAGGTGAGCTTCATAATCTTTGATTACCTATGTTTATCGTAGTCATAAGCTGAAGGTCAAGCAGAATTTTTTTTTTACCGAGGGTATTGTTTTTTTTTTTATAAAAAGAAGACTTATTTAGATTATTTTCCTAGTTTTCAATATGATTTTTATATATTTTTTAACTTTCAGTGGGAACTTAGAAATTATACAAAGTAGCCACGATGCATAAGACACAAAAGAAATTTTAGATTATGAAAGATCTGTAGGGTCAATACAGTTTGGCCTCATTAATCCAAATGTTTGTGTACACAAGCAAATCATCTGGATTTAATGAATTGTTGGAATTGCTGAAATGTACCTTTTAGAATAAGTAGATATAAGCAGAGACACAATTGTTATTTAATATGTCTCAGAGTCGTAATTTCTTTTCAATTCACGGTTAGAGAATGATGGGGATTTCTTAGATTGCCAATATAAGAAATCCCCAGCATTTTCTAACCGTACTTATATACTTTAAGTATGCTGGGACAAATTTCAGTAGAAAATTTGTGACCACACACATAGTGTAAATTAACACCACATGGGAAAATATACTTCTACAGTAAGTGTTAATTCTGTTTCCCACAAATTTCTTTCGGAAGATAAGCATCCAGATTATTAGTGTCTGGATTAGTAAGGTTTGACTGTCATTCATAGTGAGTCTATCACTTGTATTTTCAGTATGGTCTGTACTCTGCATTCATGGGTTGCTTTGTATACTGTTTCTTTGGGACTGCCAAGGACATCACTCTCGGACCCACGGCCATCATGTCACTAATGACAGCCACCTTTGCTACTTCACCGATTGAGAATGACCCGACTTACGCCATCGTCCTCTGTCTCATTACTGGCTGTGTCCAGCTTCTTCTAGGTCTCTTTAATCTAGGTCAGTATAATATATAAGTAATATATAATTACTTATTTAAAAAAGAGATTTGCTTAAGACCTGACTGTCCAAGGAGTGGCAAAGATTTTATTTCATTGTTCCCGCTATAAAAATAATTTGGAATATGTTTTTTGATAGAATAAGCACATGGTGAAACATGGAATATTGATGATTTTTATATTATGATTTGTGTTGCTTTTCTGCATAGTAATTTTTATGCCCCACCATGAATATGGCCGGGGCATATAGTGTTTGTCACGTCCGTCTTCCATCCTTCCGTCACACTTTGTGTTTAGCTCTGTTCAAATCTCAGTTTCAAAGAAACTATCCATTGGCAAGATATTTTTATCAAACTTCATATGCTGATAGATATTGATGAGAGCTATGCAACTGCCTCAATGTTTTTGACCTTGACCTTTCATTTGACCTTGACCTCACTTTTCTTAAATTAGTGTTTAGCTCAGTTTTAAAGATACCATTCAAGGTAGTGTAATCAAACTTAATATGTTGATACATACTGATGTAAGCTATTCAACTGCATCAACATTTTTTGACCTTGACCTTTCATTTGACCTTGACTTCACTTCTCTTAAATTAGTGTTTAGCTCAGTTTTAATGAAATCATTCAAGATATTTTTATCAAACTTCATATGCTGATACATACTGATGAGAGCTTTTCAACTGCATCAATATTTTTTGACCTTGACCTTTCCTTTGACCTTGACCTCACTTTTCTTAAATTAATGTTTAGCTCAGTTTTAAAGATACCATTCAATACAGTGTTATCAAACTTCATATGTTAATGCATATTGATGAGAGCTATTCAACTGCATCAACATTTTTTGACCTTGGCCATTCCTTTGACATTGACTCCACTTTTCTTAAATTAGTGTCAAACTTCATATGCTGATACATACTGATGTAAGCTATTCAACTACATCAATATTTTTTGACCTTGACCATTCCTTTGACCTTGACCTCACTTTTCTCAATTTGTGTTTAACTCAGTTTTAAAGAAAACATTCATAATATTTTTATAAAACTTCATATGCTAATACATACTGATGTAACCTTTTCAACTGCATCAGCATTTTTTGACCTTGACCTTTCCTTTGGCCTTAACTTCATTTATTTTAAATTAGTGTATAGCTCAGTTTTAAATAAACCATTCAAAATATTTTTATCAAACTTAAATATGCTGATACGTATTTGTGAGGAGTATTCAACTGCATCAAAAACATTTGACCTTGAACTTTCCTGTGACCTTGACCTCACTTTTCTTAGATTTGCATTTTGCTTAATTTTAAAGAAACCATTTAAGATATATTTATGTAAGTTTATGCACTTATACATAATTTGGCGAGAATTTATTATCTATATCCAACTTTTTAGATTTCAATTTCAATTTTAAAGAAACTATTCAAGATATTCTCATCAAATTTCATACACTAATACAAATTTTCATGTTGCATTACTAATATACCCTCGGCTGGGCATTCATGTCCTATGGACATATTCCTAGTTTCTTTAATGTTTTGTAGGAATACTAGTTAACTTCATTTCATACCCAGTGATCAATGCATTCACTTCTGCTGCAGCTATTACCATTGGTTTTGGTCAAGTTAAGGTAATGATATTAAGAGAAAGAAAGGACACAATATATATGCTGAACTTTCAGGGTCTTATGAAGCATTCACCACCTAAAAATTCCTGTTTTTCCACTTCTTTCTATCTGTTTTTATTTCAGGGGATTTTAGGTTTAAACCATATTCCAAGAGATTTTCCAGAAATGGTTTATGAGACATGCAAAAAGATTCCTGAGACCAAGTAAGCAAACATCCATGCAGTTAAAAAAATAATAAAGCATAAACATTTCATGTTGGACAAAGTCAATTGACAATCATACATGTACAACTGATAAGTGATTTATTTGTATTTTATGTATAAGCTATATTATTATTATTATTTTTTCTTTTTTTTTTTGTTTTAGTGTCTGGGACATGACCATGGGACTGGTTTCCCTCGTTTTGCTTTATTTGCTCAAGGTATGTAAGATATATATATAAATGAAGTATAGATACAGTATTAACATATAAATATCTGGTACTCTACAGTTTCAAGGGCTCAGGGTCCTTGTCTAAAAATGATAAAAATATCTACCTACATCTTTTACATACATATAATAAGAAATGAATGTTTCAGGTTATGATTTTCAACAACTTTAAAAATGTTAGTTGAAGTACTATGATAGTAATATACATACTGGAAAAAATCACTTATTTTTGTGGGGTTGAATTTTCATTGATTGAGGAAAAGAATATTGGTTCCTGAGGATTTGATTTCATGGGAAGAAGTGTATAAGTTGTCTTAATTACATGTGTAATTTTTTACATTTCAGAGAAGACATGAATTATTCATGGGTCTCTTCATATCACAGTAACAAAAAAAATTAACCCCCAACTAAAAGTAGTGATTTCACAGTATATAATTTATATTTATTCTGTAAACAAGACATGCTTATTTCAAACCAGTCAATTTATTGTTGTTAAGTGGTCAAAACTCAGTAAATACATGTATATCTTTTCTAGGCAGTTAGAATATAAATATTGCTATTTTTCTCATTCCTTTAATGCATAGTAATCTAATTGTAGAGAATGCGAAACATTGACTGGAAGGATGACCCAGATGGGCCTGGACCAAATCGATGTGTAGCCATCTGTCGCTACATTATATGGATCATTGGCACTGGTAGGAGGAGTGTTTCTGAGACTATTTAAAGCCAAACCCTACACACCTTTCTCAAGAATAGAAGGGTCACAGTTCAATTTATAATTTTGCAAGCTATCCCATGTAGTGTAGAGTTAATTTTGCTCAAATCATGACCCTAAGGACGACAAAAAGTGGAGGTCAAAGTTTTACTTATGAAAATGAAAGAAAAACTTGAAAATCCTCTTTGCAAGATTAATTTTGTTCAAAACAATGCCCTTGAAGCTAGAGTGAGGCTACAGTAGGGAAATTAAGTTTTATGCAGAGATGTAGAATTCCACAAGAACAATAAGAAATGGAAATATATGACCCTGGTGAGAAATGTGGTCTGTCAGAGCTTCTTATTTCTTTTAATATTCAGCATCCAATGCCATTGTTGTGATCTCAGCCTCTGGTGTAGCAGCCATTTTGATCAGTCAAGGGAAGAACAACACACTCTCTATCACAGGCAATATAAAGCCGGGATTACCTGACTTCAAGCCACCAGACTTCTCGTACAGTAAAGATAACATTACCTTTTCAACTAATGATGTATTCTCAGTAAGTTTTTTTTTTTCTATTTTAAAGCATTTATAAACACATGCATCTACCAATAATATCATGTGATGATATTCTAGCTGTTAAAAGTCATACAGTAAACTATTGATATCTTGAACACGATGGAATTGTTCAAAAACTTCTGCGTATCAAAGGATTTGATGTAACAAAGGTAAAGCTAGAATTCATGATATGTTTGGACCTGCATCTCATTTTGACATATTTCTGCTGTTCTACATGACTCAGTGTTCAAGATAACAAAGTTAAACTGTATATTGTTTAATGAACTGAATGTTTTTTCCTGAAAAACTTTTGAAATAACATAGATTGGTTTAACCATTGTTATAAGTAAGTTAAGGACTGTAATTTGCACAATACAGTAAATCTCGGTTATAAGGAAGACAATGGGACCTTGGATTTGTTTCCTTACAACCCAGATTCTTTATTTCCATATAAGAAATAAAGTGAAAAATTTTCTAGGGGATTCATAAAAAATTCCCTATAACAGAGATTTCCTAATAGCCGAGTTCCTTATATAACCAGGTTTTACTGTCTATTATTACTCATTTACTTCAGGATATTGGTGCTGGGTTTGGAATAGTTCCATTGCTTGGATTGGTAGAACTTATAGCCATAGGAAAAGCATTTGGTAAAACTGAAGACCTTGTATAATTTGTATTTCTATTTGATTTTGTTTATAGCAGCAGATCTGTATAACTTGATTTTTTTTTTCCATTCACAGCACGACAGAATAATTATAAAATATTTCCTAGTCAGGAGCTCATTGCAATAGGTAAAAGTCCTATAAATTAATGTAAATGTATGATATTTGGCAGAAATTGTATTTTCAACAAGTTAGCATAGATATGATTTAGGGCTTTCTGAATATGCTAGTTATAAATATAGATATACAAAACATTTAGCAATGTACTTGAATTAGAGCAAGCTGCTTTCCGCCATAGGTGCTAAATAGAGTACACCGCCAAATGTAATATGTTTACAGTATGTATTTATCAGCATTGTTGTTTAGTTAATGTTTATGTGTATATGCAGATAACAAAGTAGCAAGTACAACAAGTATATACATGTTTATATAATTGAAGTTTAACATGTATTTTTTAACAGGTTTAGCCAACATTATAAGCTCTTTTGTTGGGTCTTACCCAGTGACTGGCAGCTTCTCAAGGTAAATAAATCAGCATCCACTGAAGCAGTAGATGTGTAGTCTAGTAGTTTATTCTACTCTTTGAATCTTTTATTTCATATTTTGATAGACAAAAAATTATATACTGTGGATTCCTTATTTTACGCGAGTACTTAATATCGCGAAATGGCCCAAGGGCGTCAAATTGCGAGAAAAATAATTCGCGAACGTGTGATTTATCTAGAAATTTTACATACATTAAAGCACCATAAAAATAAAAGCGTGTAATTTTATTTCACGAGTGGTGCTCCTCGCGTAATTACGCGATAATTTATTCCTCGCGTATATTTAGGAATCTACAGTAGGTGGAATTTTTTTTTTAAATTTTGCATTGTAAATTCAGTATATAATGGTAACCATGCCTGAACTGTTAATTATTTTGTTGGAATATATTTTTGCAGAACAGCTGTAAATTCACAAAGTGGGGTAAAAACTCCAGCATCAGGGATATTTACAGGTTAGTTTACATTTTAGTTCACCTGAGCCAAAGCCTTAGGTGAGCTCTTTTGATCAGAGTTTGTCCATCATCTGTCTGTGGTCTCTTGTCTTTTATCATTTCAACTTCTGAAAAACTACTTGGGCAATCAATTTTAACCAAGCTTGTTGCAAAGCATTCTGAGGAGAAATCAAGTTTGTTCTAAAAATCTATTGAAAACAGTTGAGCCACAACAAGTCATATTGATTTAATACTATATCAGTGTGGTGTAGGTTCAAGTTTGGTCAAGTCTTGGCTGCTGTGGCTTGGATAGGCCAGTACAGGGGTAAAAGTTTTACATAGTAATATATAGAGGTTTTCTTTAAGAATCTTCTTAAAAACAGTAGGACCTCAGTATAAGTCAATTGATATACCAGTACATGTATAGGCATCCCCATGTACACATAGCATAGATGCAAGTTTAGTCAGGTCATTGTCCATGGAAAAAGGATGGGGGGGGGGAGGGTTCAAAATTTTACATGGGAAGAAATAAGAAAAATCTTTTAAAAAAATTTTAACAAGAATACAGCAGAGCCAGGGTGATTCAGGGGAACATTGTTGCAAATGAACCTCTTGTTTTTATTCTAGAGTGATAGCAGATATATCCATTTTTTATAGAGTGTTTATTGTATTATAGGTGTCTTGATTGTACTGGCTCTGTACACTTTAACTCCACTGTTTTACTACATTCCTAAGTCTGCCTTGTCTGCTGTGATAATATTTTCTGTGATACAAATGGTGGATGTGAGTGTTGTTAAAAAGCTCTGGAAAGTCAATAGTGAGTATAATTCAGAGAACAACATTTACTTTAAAAGAGAAAATAATGCAGTGCAAAAGATACTCACCTAGAAATCAGAATAGACTATAATTTACAATTATGGACTGTTTAGAAGGGAGATATAAGAACTATCAGGTCTGAATGAGGGTTGTCTTCTGAGGGCACTTGCACTTGAGGATGACAACCCTATTCAGACCTGATAATTGGTGATATCTCCCTTCTTAACAGTTCATAATTGTTTTATTATTCTAAAGAATTTAAATTATTAATAAGATAGAGTAGAAAATATCAGTCAAACCTCTTGTGTTCTCCTATCCAATGCTCTGATACCATACTTTCAAAATATGTTGACGTACAACTTTGATGTCGCCGTTAGAATATACTGTTTATTGATCCCGCATATAAGTTATATAATTATAAATATGAGTTATTTGCTTACGACATTTATCCGGTAATTCATTTTCATCTAAAGGGAGACAACACAGTTGTCACCTGCACGCTTGCTTGCGCTATTTCATTGTCATCATCTGAAGGGAGACAACAAAGTTGAGGGAGACATCACGAATTGTCTCCCCGCACATGACATGCTCAAAACCAATCAGACTGACTGGATAATTCTGAAGGATAAAAATACTGATTGTCAGCCTTCAGTATTTTTTTTTTCAGATTTTGTTTTTAGTTTCTGATGAATGTACTTATTGGGTGTTTGAGGATTTTATGTCACTAAATGTATTTAGACCTGTAAAGTATGAAAAAAGAAATTTTTTTTTTCATTTCAGAAATTGACTTAATTCCATTATTTATTACATTTCTGTCCTGCCTGGGTGTAGGGATGGAGGTAAGGAGACTGTAACATATCAGCTTTCTGCTGACACATTTTTTTTTTTAAAAAGATAAAGTAAAACTACATGTAAGTATTGTCAACACAAGTTTTCATATACGCAACAAATATTTTGCATGGTGCATACATGTATATCTATATCATGTTTTAAACTTAATTTCAAACCATGAACTATCATTACTTTTGACAAATCATCCTACAGAACTGTTTATTTGAAATGGTTCATTCTATTTGATGTGTTCTGTTGGCTTTGGACAGTGTACAGTGCTTTACAAATGTATCTGTCAAATGTACCATGTTTGTTTTCATGTAGATGTACCATGTTTATTTGTAGATTCATAAACTTTATGTATTCAAAGCTTTATATGTGGATGCATGTGTAAACTTTCTTCTTTTGCATGGTTTCGTCCATTTTCAGTATGGTATATTGATTGGTATAGGAGTTTCTTTAATCATTCTTCTGTATCCATCTGCAAGGCCAAAAATAAGGGTATGTATTCCTTTTATTGGTATAACTTTTTATTTACTATATACTGTAAAAATGGAAAGAGCGAGATCACTTTACACAGAAAATGGCTCTGTGTGCTAGGACCCCACTTTGCAGGTGCCCTATAGTGATCAGTATGTCAGTCCATCTGTCCATCCATCTGTTAGTGTATTCTCTCTCTCCTTGGTCCAGTCTGGCTCATACTTGACCCATAGAGTGCCTGTAGGTAATGAGCTTGCAGTGACCTTGAACCAAGTTTGTTGATCAAAGGTCAAGTTTTTTTTCGCTAATTAGTGGGTCAGAGGTCAATGTCATAGAAATTCTTTGTGTGAAATCTTTGCAGATATATTCTTTCTCTTAGACTTTTTCTGGCTCATTCATCACCCAAAGAGGATGTAAGACAAAGGTCAAGATCAAAGCAGATATATCTGAGTAAAATCCTTGTTTCGAGCATATTTTCTTTCCCCTTTGTCTAATCTGGATCATACTTCAACCAAAGAGTAGATGTGAGTAAAGAGTGTGCAGTGACCTTGGACTTAATTTCTAAATTAATGGTGAAGATGAGATTAGAACTCTGTGTAAAATTGTGGACTGAGAAAAAACCTGAGTACAAAATGGTCCTCTTTAAATATACAGTATTTTACAAGTCCCTTTTGTCTTAATATCCTTTACTTTGAATACTTAAAGCAGGCCTTATGAGATGTTCACCATCTCAATGATATCTGGTTCCAACTGAATATTTGGAACCTTATATTACACTAAATACATGAGAAAAAAATCATTCACATGAATTCCATGTACAGTGCTTATTATCAGCAATGCAGATTATGTTTAGCATCTTCTGTACATGTAGCATTCAGCTAAGTAATTTTCAAATGAATAAACAAAAAGACGTGTTTATGCAGAAAGAGGGTGGTGATAAGATAAAGGTGTTGATGCAGTTTGAAATTAAATAAAAAAAAATTAAATACATGTACTGCCTTCAATATATTTCTTGCTTTACAGTTTATTTTTTAAATTCTATTTTAATATGAAAACAGTGCAAAAATGTTCAACCATTCTCTCAAGAACCTAGGTGCAAGGAGACTTAATTCAATTTCAAAAATCATTTGTATTAAACCTGTTCAAATACAGACTGTAGATATATGAAGTCACCAGCTCTAAAATAACAATTGCTGATACTCACTAACATTTGATGATTTTACCAGGTAGAATATGGTGATGTTAGAGTCCTGAGGATTGATCAGGGCATACTGTTCCCTTCTGTGGAATATTTACAGGAGCGCCTTATTGAAGAAAACGAAGAGGGTAAGTTTTCATTATTTTACTCAGTGCAATAAAGTAAGAATACTATCAGGTGTACATGAATACAGCTCTTATCATAAAGGGATTCATGTCTTCTTTACTGATGATATTTACAGTATTTACAGGTGTACATGAATATCATGAAAAGGCCATTCCTCTTGTCATGAAGGAATTCATGTCTTTGTGATGACCCTCATTACCTATGATATTTAGCAATATTCTAGGAAGAATGTTTATTTTTTTTTTTTATTTATTGCTATGTTTACATATAATACAAATGTGTATTTTTAAAAATTTTAATCCTGATTATTTTTTTTGTGTGTAGGAAAGAAAAACCATTCTATAGTATTGGACTGTAGTTGTGTGTCTGCTCTGGATTATACGTCAATACAGGTAATACATGTACATATATGTATATGAATAGCAATATAGGTATCAATATGTATGGCAATAGAAGTACTGAATATTGTATTTGTCCCATAGCATCAAAAGTACTCAAAACAAGTGTTAGAGGAAAAGGTAGAAGGAGATTAATTTATTAAGGAAGCTTAACTATAAATTTTGGACTCATTGTGCAAAAAGATAAAGGTATTAGATCAAGACATTTTTCAACATATACAGTGAAACCTATCTAATCCCACATGCACTGGGACACAAATTTTGTGGTGGAATAGACAGGGTGTCGGATTGCACAGTGTAAAGAGCATAGAAAATAGTAAAATAGGAAACAAAATATAGGTCAGAATTCACAGTGTTCACTATATTTAAAATCTTGCAGATGGGGACCGACAAGGTCAGTACTGTACACAGTGAAATACATTTACTATTTACTATTTCTTTTTTCTTTTCAGGGCATTACAGAGTTAATTATAGATTTCAAGAGAAGAGATGCCAAACTAGTGTTTGCAGGATTCCCTGTAAGTATACATGTACAGATATAGACGTATAGTAGGTAATTATTGATTTACCTGGTACATAAGATCTGCTAGTTCAGTCTGAAAAAGAACATTAATATATTGTTTTGACTAATTCCACACTGTTACTAAGACTAATTTCTAAATTAAAAAAATCTGCAATGGAATCCTTTACTTACCAAAGTTACAAATTAATCCTCCAGAATACGTTCGTTCACAAAATAGTAAGGACTTTTAGCAAATTTTGTCCTTCAATCGCACAGTAACTTTACAAGTGATACCGTATAATCCCTATTAACCGGCCCTGCCCCTATAAGCACCCCGCTAGGTCTTTTTCAATTGTCGGGAAATAAGGGCCCCTTGTACGGTGGTTAAAATCATCTAGAATCGTATCGAAAGTCCGCCATAATTTGAAGAAAGTGAAAATGAAACTTAGTTATTGGGTAACTCGTATGTAAAGTATTCCTGAAAGTGATATTTTTAGAATGATCTAATCATTATCAGGGGCGTAGCTTCCATTGTGGCAATGAGGCAACTGCCTCACTAGATTTTTAACCACCAACACTCCCTCCCATGGTTAATAATACATTACAGAAAAATATTTTGTAAAAATTATAATTTAAGCAATTCTATAATGTACGTTCATACCATTAAGGTTCAAGCTCTACCTCCAGTACTGAAAACTCCAAGTAGGCAATGATTGGAAAAAAATAATAAACTGATAAATGTTTGACAATTATAGTTTTGACGAAATAAAAACAAAAGTTAAAAAAACGTGTATTCATCTTAAAATGTGTTAGTTTTAGTAAACATATTTATTAACTCTTTTACCATCGTCGGAAACCTGTGGTGGTCTAGCTTCTCTTATATACCTCGTAGGTTTCTGACGATGCTCTTTTAAATAATCTAATAATACGTGATATCATATCCACGCTATGAAACCGGTAAAATTAACTAAACTTCTGTGCAGGAAAAGTCTGATAAAACACCCAAATCCATATTCTGTATGGAGGGGTGTGTGGTGCTCCCCCTCTATCCCCCCTACCCAGTACCCACCACCACCACGGCGCTGCTCTGGACCTACTTGGGGCCTAAGGTGGCCCCATCCCCCCTGTACCTATGGTTTTGCCTCACTAGAATTTTAAGTCAAGCTACGCCCCTGATTATGTATTTCTGAAAGTGAAAGTTACCTACAAAATTTGTTCTCCTTGTGTATTCTCTAATTTCTCGGTGGAAAAATGAATCATATAGCATAATTTCGATGGATTATCTTAACTTAAAGGAATGTTAGACAGTCTTCTAGTGGTTCTCTGAATTTTCTTTTTTTTCAAAAGATTTTTTGAAGTTAAAATATCTGATTCACATAAAAAGTTATAACTAGAATACCAAAATAACCGCCCCCTTTTGGCAATTTTCTAAGCGCCCGGGGTAGTTCATAGGGATTATACGGTAATACTGTTTTCCCTTCCAAATGGCACATTTGCTTCAGGCTTGCTTTTTTTAATTTGCTTTGGGAAATTCAGATATAATAAAGAATTTTAAGCTAGAATTCAACATTTTCAAGCTCAAATAATTACATGTATACTCATGTAGTTTGCCACTTTATGTGATGGCTCTTCCAAAAACAAAAATCACTGCCAGCTCTTAGCATCTTGTATCAAAACAATAATATTTAACTCTGAGGATTTTTCTTTGTACATGTAAGAAAGGGAAGAACATTTAGGAAACTTGGTCTTTTGCATTACCTTACATATACTGGCATCTTCAAAAATACATACATGTACATGTATATTGTGATAAAGGTCATTTTTAAATCAAATTTCATCAGACTTGGCTTGGTTTTTTTTTGTTACCACACCTGAAACAGTTTAATTCTCAACCGAGTTTTTATATATTAGCTAATGTTGGAGTACCTCTCCATTCCTTAATGATATGTACATGTTTTTATTAGATACAACCTAATTCAGAGAATTTGTGTTCCCCGCTTAAGGAAAAAAGAAGAGCATGCGCAGATTAAGGGGGGGGGGGGGGCTCGGACATTATTAAATGTATACATGTATACTGAAGCAAATAAAAAATGCCAATATGGATATATAGACTTGAATGCTTATTTTTTAATATGTGTACAGAAGATGGTTTTTTTTTTTATATAAAATATTTATAACACTGTAATAATGATTTTATGCAAAGTTTGTACAGGCCAGACATCATAGCTTCTTCACTTCATATGTTGAATACTATCATTTAATCAATCAAAAAAAACATTTCAATAAAAAAAAAAAAAACCACGGGATTGTCCGGGATTTGAACCCAGGACCTCTCATATGCTAAACAAGAATCATACCCCTAGACCAACGAGGTGCTTGATTATAAAACAAATTAAATGCAAACATTAGGTCAATATACATGTACATGTTTATATTGTCAAAATTTTACACAACACATGGTGTCTAATTTAACCTTTACTAAACAGTTCTAACAGATGTAATTAGAATATAAAGTCCGCCGACAACCTGTATTATATGTAATAACTCTCCACATGCTTGTCTGCTAAAAACAGTGCCAGGCGACTTTTAATACAATTAAAAAAAAAAAAAACTGGGGCGGGACACTTTGAGAGGGGCGAGAGAGGCCATAGGGAGTTATGGTATAAAACATTGCAAAAGCTTGAAAGCATCTTGAGATATCACCCGGAAACTAAAGTGTTACACACAGACAGAATTTATGAATTTACGACCTTGATTTTTGACCTCAAAATCAATAGGGGTCTTCCTTAGGCCACAGGGAGTTGTTATGTAAAATTTCACTGCAACAGCTCAAAGGCTTCTCGAGATATCGCACGGAAACAAGTGTTAAAACAGACAGAATTTATGACCTTGACCTTTGACTTTTTGACCTCAAAATCAATAGGGTTCTTCTTTAGGCCATTGGGAGTTGATATGTAAAATTTCATTGCAAAGCTCAAAGGCTTCTCGAGATATCGCGCGGAAATGAAAGTGTTACAGACAGACAGAAATATAGACGGATGGACAGACAGACCAAAATTAAAATTCCCCACTTTCAGTGAAAGGGGGGGGGGGGGGGGGGGACAAAATATATATTCAAAAAATTTGAAGTCTTATATAGTACTGCAAAGAGAGTGTTATTTAATTTAATACCCATTGATATCTCTCAGTAGTTTGGTGTGGAGAATACCTGACTTGCATAGTGAAAGACCAAGATTGATACCCCCACTTTCACTGAAAGTGGGGGATATTAATTTGGGTCTGTCTGTCCATCCGTTCTTCTATCTGTAATTCTGTCGGTGTGTAACACTTTGGTTTTCAAGTTTCTCAAGAAACCTTTGAGATTTTGCAATGAAATTTTATATCACAACTCCCTATGGCCTGAAGAAGACCCCTATCAATTTTGAGGTCCAAAGGTCATGCATAAATTCATACACTCAGTTTGTATGAAACACTTTTGTTTCCAGATAATATCTCAGAATTCATACATTCTGTTTGTATGTAACACTTTTGATTCCGGACAATATCTGAAGAAAGACTTCGAGCTTTTGTAATGAAATTTTATATCACTGCTCCTTATGGCCTAAAGAAGACCCCTTTTGATTTTGAGGTCAAAGGTCATTAATTCATACACTGCAATAGCATAACAATAACGCATCCAAATGATAACTTTAGTTTCCTTTGAGCAAAGAAGAACCCTATCGATTTTGAGGTGAAAAGGTTAGAGGTCAAGGTCATAAATTCATACTTTCTGTCTGTGTAACACTTATTTTCCAAACTAAATATTAAAGCCTTTGAGATTTTGTAATAAAAAATTTCATATCACAACTCCCCATGGCCTTAAAAAAAACACATACAATATTGATTTTTCAGGTCAAAGGTCAAGGTCAGAAATGTATATTGCATATATAGTTTTCAGATTTTTTTCTGTAAGCTTTTGCAATGAAACTTTTGGTCATGAATTTCTTTAACTTTAAAAGACTCCTTGACTTTAAGGCCAAAATCTCAAAGGTCAAGGTTGATATTTTCTTTCTCCATCTGCAAAGTTTTTCCAGTTCTTCCACCCTCTTCTTTTTTCCTTAAGTGGGGGACACAAATTCTCTGAATGAGCTTGTTCTTATTAAATATACTTTATAACATTTTCCCAGTTGTTATAATAAGCTGAGCACCTGGAGAACATGTACATAATGTAAAAATTGTTTTCGCCATGTGAATTGCAACTTTCCATTCCTGTAAAATAATGGAGTGCTCAAAATAAAAGAATGGTGTCACAAGTAGATTTTCAATGCATAATATTTCAAGGTACCACTGCAAATGTTTTTGTATCCCTACAATGATTGAGGGCACTTTTATATATAGATATCTGTCCATTCCTTCCACTTCAAGTCCACTAGTCCAGACTGTTTTCTGAATAAGAAATGTAGAACAATGAAGATTGGTTATCAACAGAGAACACATTTTGTTTTTCAACCAAGGTCATATCAACAAGGTCAAGGTTACAAAACTACAACTTTTGTAAAGCATGGATAGATGAAGCACATAATTGCCCAAATGTTTCCTCAAGAGGATGAGTCTTAACATTAAGGCCTTTTTTTTCATTTGGCAATGCAAATTTCTTGTAAAATTACTGATTTCTGCTTCCTTTACATAATATGCCTTCCAATAGGCCTAAGTATATGTACTGTAATTGTCAGTTCTATTTGGGTCAGTTTTATGTTTACATGTGAGTTCAGAATAGTATTTTGGTTCAAAGGGAAATTAGATACATGTACCCGGTTTTACTCAGAATCATAGCATAGGAAGTACAGCTGCTAAGTAACATTCCAGCTTATTTCTCTCCATCAATTTCCACTGTCATATTTGTAAACAATATAACACAGAACAAAATTGTTTAGACTTTTAAAAGAACCATTTGCATGTAAGAGTTTTCATTGTAGTTGTAATTAAGATTCTATTAGTAAATAGTGCCCCTATGAGGTTTAAACATGACTATTGGTATGTGAATGTTTAAATATTTGTTCTCATAGAAAAAAGTACTGGAACATATACAGAGGGCAAATATCCCAGAATTGCTAGTGAGTTCCACAGTTCAGGAGGGATGCAAGCTTATACAAGGTACAGGTACATTTGTCTAGCAGCAAATGATTCAAAAACTCAGCCTGTGTGATCTGAATGAAAAATTGCAATTATATCAGTAGAATAATCAGTGTATATTTTTATATTTTCAGAACAATTAACTCCAGAATTTCCAGCAGTACAACATACTAAAGTAGAATTCAGTTCTCATCTTTGATAGCTCATCAATTCTCATCAATACTTCTTACAAATACCCACAACTGTTTGTATAAATTAATGTTTTGATATACAGACTTTAGAACTTGTTTACTGTCAACATTTTTAAACAGCTTATGTGTACTTACATGTAACATTCATTTTGACTTAGTTATTAATCACTGATATAAAAAAAAATGTGCCAATGCCATATTTATTTTAATGTTCATGTAATTTTTAAACAGCATAAGTGAACTTACATGTTAAATGCATTTTGACCAAGTTATAAGTCACTGATACAAAAAAAAAAAAAAATGTACCAATGCCATATTTATTTTAATGTTTGTGTAATGTTAATTTTTTCATTTATTTACAAGGCACATATATGGTTCAAACTAATATTGTATGGGGGTACTTTAATGACTGATAAATGTTTTCTTTATTATTCAGATTTACCATATTGGTCTTAAAAATTTTCAGCAAGTCTGAAAATTTGTAAGTCAATACATTGAATTGTTCTGCAGACTGATATTAAAAATTTTGTTTACATAAATATTGTTTCAGTGCACCTAACTATTACTGACTGTTAACTATCTGATATATACTGATTTTTATAGAACCAATAAGCACTTTAACCCTTTAGTATGCCTGTGTAAATTGATTTGTTTTGTTTATATTTAACCAAGTCGGCTCAAACTTCATTATCACAAATATTTACAATGCTTTTTTTATTTTACCTGGTACTTAACGGAGAACAAAATGAGAACATTTCGAATCTTGTTTTGATGTAGAGTAATTACTTAGATGCTGTGCATCAGACTCTCAGGGGAAGTAAGTGTGTAATGAATTGATTGTAAGGAAATGTCCATGTCATATATTTTCTTGAAATGTATAATCAACTGTACTTTGCCCAGGAAAAATGAATGATTTGTGCTATATAAGAATCCTATTTAGACATAGTAATGATTTATATAAGTGATACTATACATTTATTGACTGGGTTCGAGGGCGACATACCTTTTTTCAGACCAAAGAATCACAGTTTGGTTTGAGAGGTTGACAAAACACATTTTGCCCAAAAACACAGTCAATAAATGTTTTGTTATATCTTTTTACTTTTTATTTTGACATATCTTCTTCTGGCTTCCATGTTGTAAATTTCATTTACCCGCACTGCAGTTTAAAGTCGGTCAAGTTCTGTCAAACTCCAACGAATGCAAATAAGATACATGTATAGCCGATCCCGCCCACAGTATGACATAACCAATATCTCATTGACAGGTCCAATATCTCACTCATCAGTCAAACATCGATTTTTTTAATGACCGATCAGTAAAACATTGGAAATGTTAGAATTTTTTTTAGCATAGATTCATATAGGAAACTACTTTTAAAGGTATAAGAATTCATCTTGTCAAACTTCTTTTTAATATTTGACCAACAGAACATTTAATGTTCAAGTGCAATCTAGGCTGAAATGTATATGTGCAATATAATACCTGTGTGTACAATGTAAATTCATATCAACTTATTAAAGTTTTAATTTGATAAGAAAATTCTTTTGATGAATGTAATCAGTAGGTAATATGTATGTATTCTTATGTAATAATGATATATTTTGTTTATTGTGGGTTGTAAATCATTTTGATACTTATGCAATGAAAGCTTTTATATCATGTAACAATAAAGGTTGTTTCAATCCCTGAGCCAGCAATTATTTTATGAAGTTGGAAACTAAGACTTATAATCAAAGGGAATTCCTTCAAGGATACACTCAAAGCAAGATAGTGTGGTGGTCATGCAGGCAAGTTTTATCACAGGTGGCCAGATAGCTCAGTTGGTAGAGCACCTGACTAGTGATTCAGGAGGCCCAGGTTTGAGTCCTGGTCTGGTCTGTCACATCTTTCTCCTAGCCAGTTACATTTTATGCTGTGCCATGACCTGCATGGAAGTGACAGATGAAAGACCTGTCAGGGAAGATCCTGGTATTGTGTCTTGAGGGACTGAAGATCTTTAATTGAGCGAGTAATGTGGCAGTCAGGTTTGATTGCCAGATGCTCCCTTGAGCACCTGAAATGTGAATTCAGGAGGCCCGGGTTCAAACCCTGGTCTGGTCCAATGCATTTTTCGATCCCTTACAGTAGTTTGAAAAATGTAATGAAGATGTTTCAAACTTGTGGATAACATCTGGGCTTTGAAATAATCTGTGGGCAGATTTTTTCCTTTAAAAAGGTTATGTGAATGATACCTTATCATTTTCAAGGCCATAACTCAATGGTCAAGGTCACTAGCTATTCTAGAATAAAACAGTACTAGCATATAATTATACAATTACCTGGTAGCATGTATATGAAGTTTAAAATGCACGATAATGGATACCTGTGTAATGAGGAAAAAAATGCAAGAGATAGCTCAGTTCGTAGAGCACCTGACTAGTGAATTCAGGACGCCCCAGTTCAAATCCTGGTCTGAGTGATCCATCGCATTTTTCTCCTTTCCTGTTATCAAGTAAGAAGATGGGCATATTTGGTGTCTAATCTGAAGGAATAGCATGTATGAATCACTCACAGTTTAAATGTCCAGACAAACAGGTGATTTAGTCGGGCCACAGTTGGACAGACTTTACAAAAGTTGTGCACATAGAAAAATGTTGCATTACTATTATCATTACAATGGAATACTGTGTCCAAAAAATTGAAATACCCAAGCAAGTCTGCTTACGACATTAAATAATCACTAAACAACTATAAGATAATAATAGGGTATAATTAAATGCTAATGTATTTAAGGACTACGCACGCTAACTTTCGATTCCCGCCTACATTTTAAACCCATTTAATTCAATACTAATGACAATTTGGCAGTAAAATCTTTGTTGAATGCAAAGACCAGTTCAATGGTAATTGACTGATAATTTTAATATCAGTGTTAAATAGTTAATTACACCTAATTCCAGCTTTTTAAATAAGGGGGGTAGACGATATTTTCCATTGAAATCGGGCTTTGAAGCATCACCACATTTTAAAATATTCTTGGATATGAATAAATGTTCCTTAAATCTTTTCCTATGTTTTACGCATATAAAATTCAGCATATATCATAAATAAAATACAATGTTTTAGTTGTAAACTCCTTTGAAATTGGTGAAAAAATAAGCATTTTTGTACTTTTTTGTCTGTAGACATATGTTCCCCCCGTGAAACACAAAAAGCTTTGGTACGAATTTGTAAATTGACAGTGTATATTACCTGTAAAAAGGAATTTTTGTTCACGTGGGGGAAAGATGTTTTAAAATTATTTTCCATTTTCTGTTGATTTCTATAGTGAACAAGATGTGTTTGTGAAACACTGATGCCCCCGTATGGCAGCTTATGGCGAAGGTTAAAGTTTCTCAAATGCAAGTCAAAATCCAGGCCAAAAGATAAAAAATGTTGATACCCAAAGAAAGGTCTTGTCTCGAGGAATATACCTGTGAAATTTGAAAGACCTAGCTGCAACTGTTCAAAAGTTATGGCGAAGGTTAAAGTTTTTTAAATAAAAGTCACACGTCAAGGTGAAGGTCAAAGTGGTTGGTATCCAAAGGAAGATCTTGTCACAAGGATTACATATGTGAAGTATAAAAGCCCTAGCACCAACCATTCAAAAGTTATGACCAAGGTTAAAGTTTTTCGAAAGTAGGTCAAACTCCTATGTCAAGGTCAAAGGGTCAGAGTGGTTGGTATCCAAAGGAAGGTCTTGTCACAAAGATTACATATGTGAAGTATGAAAACCCTAGCATCAACCATTCAAAAGTTATGGCCAAGGTGAAAGTTTTTCAAAGTAGGTCAAACTCTATGTCAAGGTCAAAAGGTCAAAGTGGTTGGTATCCAAAGGAAGGTCTTGTCAAAAGGATTACATATGTGACGTATGAAAGCCCTAGCTCCAACCATTCAGAAGTTATGGCCAAGGTTAAAGTTTTTCAAAAGTAGGTCAAACTCCTAGGTCAAGGTCAAAGGGTAAAAGTGGTTGATATCCAGAGGAAGGTCTTGTCACAAGGAATACACATGTGAAGTTTGAAACCCTAAGCACCAACTGTTCAAAAGTTATGGCCAAGGTTAAAGTTTTTCAAAAGTAGGTCAAACTCCAAGGTCAAGGTCAAAAGGTCAAATTTGTTGGTATCCAAAGGAAGGCCTTGTCACAAAGAATACACATGTGAAGTTTGAAACCCCAAGCACCAACTGTTCAGAAGTTATGGCAAAGGTTAAAGTCTCATAAAATTTTGCAAAAGTGGGTCAAACTCCAAGGTCAAGGTCAAAAGGTCAAGTATGATGGTACCCAAAGAAAGGTCTTGTCACAAGGAATACACATGTAAAATATGAAAGTCATAGCTCCAACCAATCAAAAGTTATGGGCAAGGTTAAAGTTGACAACAGACAGACAGACAAACAGACAAACAAACAGATAAACAGACAGACAGACAGGACAAAAACAATATACCCCCGGGATCTTTCGATCTGGGGGCATAAAAACACAAATTTTACCAGAATTATCTCTCCTTCTTTTCTTAAAGAACTAGTGTTTTATGAAACTTCATATAAATATCTCTATAATTATGAAAAATCATTCAAATATGTTAACTTTAGAAAATTGACTTTGAGGTAGGCGGGAGAACAATACTATCGTTCGCAGTTCTTTCATCAGGTGGGGAAAATATGCTTTCGCTCTTAGTGCAACACAATCAAAATTTAACAATTTTCAAATTCAATAAAGGAAAAAAATAAAATTATTCTGACAAGCAACTTGATTGTTTAACGAAAAAGAGCTAGATGCAAGGATTGAATAGAAAATTATCGATTCTTCACTACTGGTTTCAGTCTTTATAAAAAGCTTGTCGATTTCGTTATGGTCAATGGCTTTAGGCTAGATACATGTAATAATTCGTTTTCATTTTAATACAGTATGTAGAGATTAGTTGGATCCTTTCCACAGACATTTATTAAGAGGCATGATTATATTGTCAACACATTTTGAGTTTGTTATCTCTAAATGTTATTTGATTTGATCCCCCTCCCCCCCCCCCCCCCCCCCCCACCTACTTTTCATTGTAAATAATGGTAATGTCTACATTATGTATATTCTTATTTTTTCTTGTTGATGTGTGTTTATTTTACAACACATCTCTGTTGATATAATAAAACATGCCATTAATGTATACAAATTATAAAAATTATATCCAAGGGAGTGTAGATACTGTTATGTTATTCCTATGTTTGAAAACTTTAAAGCTCCTGACAGATAATATACGCAGTACGTATACTTTCCAGCACAATAACGCAGACAAGAACTAGTAATAAAAGATGGAATAAGAGCAATGTAATACACTAAACTGATTGAATTCTAAGGAGTATATATATATATAAAAATATTTCCATTTCTATTTGTTTTCTCTGTGATATCTCTTTGAAAGTTAGGAGAGTTGATTTCTTGATCATTCCACCGGAATGCAAATTCGCCAAGCGAAAGGTCAGGAGCTAAGAAGGCCTAATATGCATGTAATTCTCAAGCGGCTTTCTTTGTGTTTAATGTCAGTGGGCGGGGACTATTGAAATTGACATGTGAGGCCTCGTGTAATTTAAATCTATTAGTTTACATTTTTAAAATCTAAATTTACAATTTTATTTCACAATGAAATGGAAATATAAGGAATCACTGTCTAGTTAGTAGAGTATGCCTGGGACATCAACGATAGTTGGAAACGTGGGATAATTTATGCATAACGGGCTTTGCCCGTTATGCAAATTATCCCACGTTTCCAACTATCGTTGATGCCCTGGCATACTCTACTAACTAGTCAGTGATTCCTTAAATATATATATATAAATATCAGCTCACAGGCTTAAAATTGAAATTGGACGATATCAAAAAATACCTAAAGATGAACGATTTTGTTCCCTTTGTGATCTCAAGGAGATTCAGGATGAAATTCATTTTCTCCTTGTATGTCCTCATTTTAGTGTACAAAGACTTGAACTTATAAATATTTGTAATAATAAATGTAAAAATTTTCAGTCCCTATCATATGATAATCAATTTCTTTGGCTCATGACTAATGAAGACCCTGAGATCCTAAGATCTCTTGCTAGATTCCTTGATAATCTACCTTAACTGAAAAATTTAAATATATTTGGGGATGTATATACATGTAGGAATGGCAATATATCATCTCTTCTGTTCTTTAATATGCATATATGTATCTTTCCAGCTACTTGACTATATGTTATTATTATATTACAATATGTATACTCGTATACATCTCTTGTAGATGCATTTATCAATGATTATACAATTAAGCACTGCTCATTATATTTAAGATCATGTTTGTTCTATCATTTGGATCTTCCTCCTTCTTTGTTTCATGTTTGTAAATCTTTTTTGCTCCTCCGGGGGCCCAAATTGGACTAATAAATCTTGTATACTTGTATACTTGTATATATATATATATATATATATATATATATATATATATATATATATATATATATATATATATATATATACACACACACACATATATATATATATACAATAGACATCCATCGCAGCTCATGCTCATCGCAGGCGAGAATATCTGTATCGAATAACACAGAGTGAATAATTCTTGTCCTCGAAGAAAGTGTGCTTTACTGAGGCATAGTTCCACTTGACTGTGTTTTAGTTATAGTGGAATTTACAATTTGCTTTCCCTTAAGTGTCTTTTATATCAAGAATAAACATGCATAAAAGATAGATAATTGAAAATACACAAGACCCTGTATTAAATTAAAAAAGTCTGAAAAGACAAGAATTTAAAAATGTATAGGAGTGTGGCACCACCTGGATTCGAAACACGACTCAAAAAAGTATCTTTGGTGTACAT